GGTCATGATTGTTGTGGCTGCAACTGTGACAGGGACTCAGCCATTATCTGGAGCACATGCTCTTCATGGGCAGCACAAAATACCCAGATGAAAACGAATATGAAGCGTACCTCACAAAGCATGGGGGCTTCTCTAATGCCTACACAGAGTCGGTAAGAGTTGGCCTGGCACAATTTCCCATGTTTGACTGGAGGCCAGGCCTGCCAGTTTGGCTTTTTGCTGTATTGTGGTAGAAGTTGATGATGTGTTTTTGTTTGTATTCAAGGAGCACACGGTCTTCCACTTCGATGTCGATCCAGATGCTCTGCATGGCACTTTGGATCGCTTCGCCATGTTTTTTGTGAGCCCTCTTTGCCTGGAGGACTCCATGGAACGGGAAGTGATGGCAGTTGACAGTGAGTTTGTAGAAGCTCTCCAAGATGACGAGTGCAGATTGAACCAGCTCATGTGCCACACGGTGAGCGTTGCTGGCCTTTTGCCTTCTATGGGATAATTTGTCAACAGATAAGTCCTGCAAGGAATCTTTGTAGCAAGATTGCAGAGGAAGTTGTTTCGCAACAACTGTCATCTTGGCAAGTTTTGTCAGTGTTGGCATGAAAGGTTTGAGGCTGTGTTTCTACATCATAACTGTGCATTGACTATCTGGATTGGGATTGAGAACTTGCAGGCTCGGCCAGGTCATATGTACCAAAAGTTTACGTGGGGAAACAAGGCGAGTCTGATGGACATCCCACAGGAGAGTGGACTCCATGTTCGAGACGAGCTTCTGAAGTTCTACAAGTGCGAGTTGCTTTTCGATTTCAGCAAGGCTGGAGTTTCTTCTAAGTTTTGGTTTGCTTTCATCAAACTGACCATTGCATTTTTATCTGTTTTAAGCCTCCAGATGTGTCTGGGTGCACCAGGAAGCAGATGACAGTACTGCTGCTTGACTTGCAGGTCAAACTACAGTGCTGAACGAATGCGATTGGCAGTTTTGGGTGGAGAACCTCTAGACACACTTGAGGAGTGGGTGAGGACTATGTTCAGTGTGGTTCCATCTGGCCTGGGGCCAGAACAAAACTTTGCCTCAGCAGGGTTTCCTTTTGAGGTATGTGGGCTCCCAACAAGTGGATTTCTTCCAGCGCCTCCTTATTCTTGTATGCTCTCATTTTTTGTCTTTGTTCGTGTGTTTATCGGGAAATCCACAGTTTGGGATGGCGTTGCCTTGATGCAGTGATGCATAACCATGTCCACTGTGTCCCACCGAGCTGCTTTTCAGTAGGCATGGATGCATTCATTTTCCCTGCGCTTGTTTCATTGTTGGATACCTTCTGCTTGAATTGAAATGACACTCCTAACCTGCCTTGTGGAGAAGCGCAAGAGTTTGTGTGGCATGTGGCATCTATGAACGTTGTGTACATCGAATTGGAGCAGTGCACTGCACAAGCAGGACAGGCTGTTCAAGTTGCCCCAGCCATCAAAAGACAGGTCCACAATGCTTTTGATAATGGTCTCCTACTGGCTGTTGCTACTGAGGAAAAGGTGCAGTGCAGCGCCAAATAGCTATGTGATGCAGTACAGCATAATTGATTCTTATACAGCTTGGAATCCTATCAGCTACATGGGCAACAGTGTACACCCGAAGGGCCCCTGCTGGTGAACTTTGCTGTGATTGCTGCTCTCGTGTATCAAGCAAATGCTGCACTGTGCCTGAAATGAAAGGCGCATGCCAGGCACTGTGCCATGGCATAGAAGGGCACATGACCCAGTACGGTGTCTATTCCTGAACCGTTGATTGTGCCCCTGGCGGTCACTTTTGAGGAACAGACACTCAGGGATGTGAGGAACATTACCTTTGTTTGGTGCAACGACGGTGCCTTCCAAGTATACCACTCTCACAGTCAAATGCACCCAGTTGACAAGCTCTGTTGATGAGTGCGATGGAGGCCCAGATTCGAGCCAAGCGCCCAATTGAATAGCAGAGCAGCACAGCTCCAGGCCATGGGGCTCTGGATCTTTTCAAGGCCTCTAGGCCCAGGCAAAACTGCAACCGAATTGTGAGGCACGTGAACAATGCATGTGGAATGGTGTCAACATGCGTTCCTGCACCACGTCCATTCTGCTCTTTAAAGATCATTCCTTCAGTTTGTTGAAAAGGCGAATCCCCAGAGCTCCCAGCACACTGGTTGGTTTGTGTTTTGGTTGCACAGCAGCTACACAAACTGGTATGCTGCCAGCTTTCCCCCTGGCACCATCCAGCAGGTGAAAGGGCATTGGTTACAGACCATGATGATGCAACCAAGTTGCCCCTGTGGTCTGCAGTTTTGGTCGTCACAAGAGTTAGATCCCTCCATATGCAGGGGCAGATGTTGTACCTTCTGGCATCTGTGAAAGGGCTGCACAGAGTGACAGTCAGCTTCCAGCTTCCATGCCTGGAGAAGCTTTACCACAAGAAAGCAGAGGACTACATATCACATTTGGTCGGCCATGAAGGACCAGGCTCACTGCTGTCTGCCTTGAAGGTGAGCCAAATGGCCATCCTATCACTGCCAGCATCAGTTTGCTTAATCATTCAGCAGTTGAGCCTGGATCTAGCATCTTGGACTTAGCCACTGATCTAGCATCTTGGACTTAGCCACCAGCTTTCAGCAACTGCTGCTTGCATTGTTATTGCATTGTACTGTATTTTGGTTGGCTATGTGCAAAGATGCTTGGAATGCTATGGATTGTGCTTCATGGTTTGAATCAGATCATGCAGATGTTGGTGTTGTATCTATTCACATTGATCATGTATGTTTCCATATAGCACAGAAGTGAATTTGCTCAGCTATCATTCCTTGATGCTCAGACTGGTAGCACATTATCACCTCTCTGCCAAAAGGTCCAGCTGTTAATGGGTTTTGTGTGGCCATCACAAACAACCTTTTCTGGTTATTCCATTATATCCAATATCATCCTTCAATACTCACAGGCGGGCTTGTTGATTTCTTGTCCAGTCCATGGGCTGGGCAACAGGTGTTGCTGCTGGCATTGAGGACTCGTCCTTCAGCATGAACAGCTGCGTTTACATCTTCACTGTGGACATGACACTCACAGAGGCAGGGCTGACAGCTGGACCAGGTTACGGCCTGGCAGCTGTGCAACTCCTGTTCCAATACCTTAAAATGATAAGGGATGCGAAGGCCCAGCGCTGGGTGTACAATGAGCTCAGGGCCATTGGGGAAATGAAGTTCAGGTTTTCTGAGGAGGAGGATGCAGCATCATACGTTACCAAGCTGGCAACGGGACTCTTCATCTATGAGCCCCAACATGTGTTGGTGGCAAGCCGCCTTTATGATGACTGGGACCCAGGCCTGGTGCGCTGAAACTGGGGAGACCTTCCCCTTCAGTGCATTGTAACAGGGATCCATGCCCACAATAGGCAATTTTTCATGGCTGGCAATACCATAGCATTGAGTCTGTCAGTGCTGATCACTTTGACAGTTTGTGGCAAATAGTTGCCGTGCACCTAGCAGATACTGTGGGCTTTTGAGCACTCAGAGCAGCATGCAGCTGTGCTGCATGGCACCTACAAGACCCTGGGCTTGGATCCAGGAGTGCTGCACCTGGTTCTGTCCAGGCACATGGCAGGTGGCCATTGAAGGCTGCATTATTGTCCCCACTCAACAGCCATAGATCACTGCATGCCGTTGCTGTGTCGCACCTTATGTTTTGTGTAGCATCGCTGTTGTGAACATGTGGTTTGCTGTGGCACAATGGAGATGACTGCTCGGCACTGCAACATAATCTTTGCGGCTAGAGTGTTGTGTATTGTTGCATCAACAACATCCTTTTGTCTTTTGTTGGAATAGTGCACTTGGAATTAACGTCAAATGATTTTCTGGACTCAGGCTGCATGCACCTATTGGCGTAAAGGTGTTTGCATGTCAATTGGCCTGCTTGATCTCTATGTCTACTGTTCAAGCAAGATGCTGATAGCATGATGTTCCAACAACAGTGCAGTACTTCCCTGATCGCTGTTCCTTAACACCAAGATTGTTTGGGTGAATGAATGGTAATTTATTGGTCCAGGTAGAAGACCTTCTGAACATGATGACCCCCTCAGCCGAGGGCCTGCGCATTGACCTTCAGACGAAACACTTTCAACAGATGAAGGAGAAGCTTCTGAAGGAAAAAGCAGATGTTCTTTGTGAAACAGACCCCTGGTTTGGCTTTGAGTATTTGGCAGTTGCCATTGATGAGAAGATGCAGGAAGCCCTGTCCAGCGTTTCAGGCTCGGAAGCCATTCAGTTTCCACCAAAGAACCCATATATGGCAGAGGACTTCAGTGTGAAGGCAAAGGGCCTCTCAACAACACAGGCACCAGATAGGAGCACTGCTGGAGACGAGCAAGGGCAGAATGGTGCTGAGAAGGGGGCAACTGGCAAGAACATGTCAACAGACATCGACGATGTACCGAGAGATGCAGGGGACTCTGGCATTGTGCCAGAGGCTATGATGCCGGAGCTGCTCCTTGACGAGCCTGGTCAGCATTGCATGTGTTTGTACAATTGCTTGGTTTTGTACCATTTGCTTGGGATTGGCTTGCTGGCACCATATGTCTTTTGTTGTTGTTCTGCTTGCTGCATTTTCCAGAACACCTGACCAAAAAGGGCCTTGCACCTGGAGAGGCAAGGGTTGGCACAGCAGCTTGCAATCATTGTCGGTAGGTTTCTTGGTTTGGTGCCATTTCTTTCGTGGGCACAATGCTCATGTTGTTCCTTGGCTTGAGCTATGTTGTGGTTACCATATTGAATGCCCAGGCATGCCAAGCTGTTTTGAAGTTTTGGCCCTGTTTGCAGTACTGTGGCCAACGATGAGGGTTTGACACTGCATCAAAATATTGTTGCATCTATTACTGCCAAGCAACAACCAGGTGCTCATGCTCTATGCTCTCTGGCAACATCAAATGCAAATGCTGGTATTTGTGCAGACTGTGATGTGTTTGAAGATCACTGGGGATACACTGGCGATATTTTATTCTTGCGATGCTGATTTTCCATGCATGCATTGGGGCCCCCAAATATTCAGGATTATTCTGGGCCCTTCTTCAGTTTGTATTACTGTAGGCAATATTCAGAAAGAAGGCAAGCAGAAGGTGGGGCTTCCTGCAACGTGTAAGTGACATGTGTGTGTGTTTTTGTGTGTGTGGCACATCTACAGGCCTGAGAGTCTGGCACAAACTTGACACCATCCATTTGCTGCCACGGACAAGCACATACTTTCGTTTGTCATCACCCGCCACATATGGGCCCCCAAGAGCGTATGCCCTCACCCACATGATGGTGGCCCTCTTGGAAGATGCCCTGAATGAAGAGGCCTATTTGGCAGACGTTGCTGGTCTGTACTGTGGCTTAGGCCCTGAGGGCCGTTTGGGAGTGGAAGTCCTTGTATCAGGTAGGCAAAGGCCATGGTGCGAGCAATCAAGAAAATGATAGTTAACAAGAAGGTCAGGGCGACTTCGTAGTTGAGAGCACAACAAGCATCATATGTGCCTCAGAGGATGATGTTCATCTCTGCATTGGCGCCTCCAAGCTAAACAAGTGGACCCCAGTTGTGGTGTTGTTCTTCCCTACAAATGGCAGCTGTGGCTTTGCCTGCTGGGAGATATTTCAATTTGTTTCGTTTCTACACCAAGCACCCTAGCGATTATGACTTTTGGAGTTAAAGTTAGGCGCTTGATTGTGCAGCAATTGAGCCAACATTGCCGCAGTTTCAAGGAATTGAGGGTGCAGTACTGCAGAGAAGTGGATTGGCACATCGCATCTCCATACAGTAGTCATTTCCAAATTGGCTGACCACTTGAAGCCATGAAGAGCTTCCTGCCAGGCTATGGTGTGCCAGCTAACCGCGCACACTGCATGGATTTGCAGGTCACTGTTGGACGATGTTTGATATCACCTTATTGGTGGAACACTGCATTCTTGTGACTGTTGATACTGTACCACTGTGCCATAGCCTGCAGTGCTTGGGGATGTTCATTGCTGTGGGGATCGTTAACAGTTTGGGAATGACCATTTGCAAATTGTAGAGGTGCCTGACAATATCCAACAGTTCCGTGGGCGTTGATTTGCCAGTGTGTGGTGAGAGTGTGCAGCACCTGTTAAAAAGCCCATGGCAATATGTCACTCTGACGTTGCGGGGAACTGACATTGTTTGCCTCTTGGTGGGGAAGTAATTGGTTCATTGGTGCATTCCTGACGTGGGTACTTGCCAAAATAGCACTGTGTGGGGGCCACATCTTAATCTGTTCATGTCAGGAAATAATGTGCAGTCGTGTGCTCATGTGGTGGCCAGGAGGTAAGCAGCTGGGTACAAAGAACACTGTGGTTGTACAGTCGGCATCAAATGTTGCTTGTGCATGCAAATGTGTGAATTATTTGTCTCGTGGCTTTTCAGATATCTTGATGTTGAGGTAGCTTGTGAGCCCAGTGCTTGTTGCCACACCATTTACTGTTTCACACATGCGCCAACAGGTTTCAGCGACAAGCTGCACCTCTTGATCCATCGTGTGTTTGAGACGATGACAAATTTTAAGGTTTGTGTCAGCAGGAGTGCACACCAGAGAATGAAATCGATCCATATCGAGACTTGGAGATGTCATTGGCAGTGCAAATGAGTACTTGCAGCAATGGAACCAGGGTTGTGATGGTTTAACTGGCACAAACTGGCTTCTCCTGTGCAGTGCTGTTGTTGTTCATTGCCAATGCCCTGATATCAGAAGTGAAAAAGGTGTAAAGAAGAAAATGTTTTGAGATTTGTTGCTGTAGTATCAAATTCTTTAGTGGTGCAATATTGCTGCGGATGGTTGTATGTCGTCTTGAAATTTCGATAGATGGGATTTTCGCAGTCCGGGGCTGCTGCAATGAACGAGTAATGGCGAGTTACTTGACGTGGACATCCCCTGCAATGCTGATATGTTGCTTTCGGCGCACACGTCCTGATTTCAATAACCTTCTGCTAATCCACACAACTGCCAAGTGGAACAATGCCCTTTGTATGCTTGATGAAGGGCGGGGGGATCCAATCTTTGATCTGTTTTGGGGGTGTTTGAATTGCATTTTGGCATGCCCACACCTGCGCTGGAGCTGGGCGTTGCATGACATGTTCCAATCGTGGTTCCATGCTTAGAAAGACAAGCCTCGTATTGGGTTTGGGCGTGTTCGCTTACCACCCGTGTGATAGGCCCATGCGACAGGATTGGACCTGTGACCGGCGTTGTTGTGTTCTTGCTTTGTACTTCAAATTCTGGTGCATTCTAATCTAACTTGCTGGTATCTCAGGTCAAGATAAGGATCACAACTATCTAGTCATCACCATTTTTTGCAAAGGCACAGCAGTGTCTGTGATTATTGATACAAGCGGATTTTTGACAAGAAATCATGTGTCACCATCCGTTCTGTGTTAGAGGAAGGTGTATGAACGCAAAACGTGTACCAATGTCATGGCCATGGCCAGAGCCACACATGTTTCGCTCCACAAACCCCATGGACTTATTGAAGATACTCCACGCAAACAACACCCTCAAGGAACAAGATAACGGGGCGCTCCTAGAGAGCGTCACTGCACTGAAAATGCAGAAAGAACAGCCGCTGCGGTCACATCAGCAGACCCTCTCCACATCCAGATGCTCCCATGGACTCACAGATCCCAGCTTCGCCACAGGCTTGCAAATGGGGGCCCAATCAAAGGAATTTGTGTTGTCAAACTGTCACATTTTTTCAGCGTTTGACACTGCATGTGGTGTGGAAAGGGTGGCTGTTCTCCTGACAGGTATGCTGTCCTTGGCACTTTGTATCATAACAATCAACTTTCGACTGCTCCAAATTGGTGGCCGTCTGTTGCTGGCCCTGCTGAACGCTCGATAGCCACGTGGAGATTGACAGTATCTTGACTGAGTTTGTGCCCAATGTTGTAGATCGAGGCCAAATCGTTCTCGAATGTGCATGAAATGGTTGTCAGGAAGTATCAAAATGCACATGTGAAGAGTGCAAAGCATGCTCATTATCTCCGGCTTTTGATCTTGTCTCCTCTCTCCGTCCAAAATGGCGAAATTCTGCAGGAGCTGTCCAAGTTGCAGCCACAAGATGTCATGGTGAGGCCTTCTCCACTTCCCATCTTCGTTTCCAGCAGTCTGTGCACAGTTAGGCTTTTCAACTTTATGTTTGCATGCTGCTGGACATCCCATTGCAAACATTCTGGACTCAGAATTCTGCCGAGGCACAAACACTTGCCGTTGTCTACAACACTTGCAGGGATTCGTTACTGAATTTCTGAGCAAGATACACGTCGAGGTCCTGGTGCATGGCAACCACACTGCAGAAGAGGCGTTGGCACTGGCCAGGAACGCTCGCTCTCAGCTGGGTACAGGTATACTGGAAGCAAAGGACAGGGAAGCTACTCAATGCCTGAAGCTGCCTGAGGGGAAGCTGCTTCTACACAGGTTGGTAGCTTGGTGGAAATGCACATTGATTCCTTTGATAAAGTAAGATGAAACACTGCCTCTGCTATAATGGGTGTTGTGTAATGCCCACAAAACTTGTGGGTAGCTCGTTAACAACTATAAAACAATCGTTTCATGTTGTTGTCTAGGGGATTTTAATTCCCAGTTTCCATGGAGCAGCCTTTTCAGTGCTGGTTAGCCACCGACGGAAGAAGAGAACTGAAATCGTGAAAACAATGTTGATCCAATTCAATTCTTTGGCCCCTTGAAGTGTGAGGGTGTGGTCATGCCCAGAATCGCAGAGCGCAGGCCTTGCCGAGCTGCCTTGTGTTGTCGGCTTGATGATGTGGATTGTGGCGATGGAAAACACCAAGCTGTCTGTGAAAAGTGAGCAATGTAGTCATCGAGCCACTGAAATAGAATCGAATGATGTTGCACAGTGCAGTGCTGCTGTTGTGGCACAAAAATAACTCCAATAGGTGTGAATTTGCCCAAGAGGTGTTTATCAACACCCACTGTAGCCTCCATCTTCCCAAGAGCTGACTCCCCATGAGTGGTGCTTCCAGAGTTTATAAAACACGAAAGAACTCCACAGACAATTGCCAACTGGACAAGTACGATCCCCCATCTGTTGTTCGCTTGGATGATCATTGATTCGTGGACGAGCAACAGTCTCAGATTGCAATATCCCATTTCATCGGGTAAATGGGTGATGTCATGCCTGGGGCTCAAGCGCAGTCAAGATGCCAGCTGTCCATTGTCTGTGAACTATTGCCAGCATGCTGTTTGGAGAGGTTGGACTGTGGTCTAGCCATTAATCATTGCGTGAGACTCACAGCCTGTGGGATGCGTGGATTTCGGTCAAGACACCGCCTCACAGTGGTGAAGGGTGTCGTTGTCTGTGCCTTGATTGGACTGCACTGCGTGCCGTAGGGCGAGGGCAAAAAACCTGGAAGAGCAGAACAGTGCCATAGAAGTATACTTTCAGGGTAACATAGACGAAGTACGGGAGCGTGTGCTGGCCGGCATGGTGGAACAACTTACTGCAGAGCCATGTTTCAACATCTTGAGAACGAAGGTGTGCATGCATTGTTGGGACAAACATGAGTAGCTGTGGCCAGGGGTCCGTCGAGGGCAATATCAGCGCATTTGTACCGATCTCGTTCAAATGCAATGACAATATCATGTGCAGGTGCTGGTTTCTGACACCTCACTGTTGAGCTACACATTGCTCCAACGACCTTTTGCACAATGGCTGAGGGTACTGTTCTATAGTGTGAATTTAAAAAGGAGAACGCCGTGTCTGCCATGCAAGCAACAGGTGCCACCGAATATGCAAACGACGCTTTGTGCGCTGTCTCCTCTAATTCTGCCAACATGCAAGCCTATTTGGACCATAGCATTGTTTGTATCGTTCTTTTTTAGTTTCAGCATGACATGGCCGGCACCCAATTCTGTTTCTGTCTCCCGTCCTAAACCCGTCTTGCCGATGACTTCATACTGTTTTGCCAACAGGAACAACTGGGCTACAGTGTGAACAGCCAAATCAAGGCCACACACGGGGTGGTTGGATTTGCATTTTCGCTGTCATCAGGGAAATACCCTCCTTCATACATCGAGAAGAGAATTGATTCTTTCTTGGAAGCGTTTGAGAAAGAACTGGACGTGAGTGGGTCCTTGGGTTGATTGCTTTTCCGCCACCGACAAACACACCACTATCGCGCCCATGAGGTCGGCCTGGCTGGGCACCTTCAACGACCGCATCTGCCGCTCTCGCAATGTTCTTGCTCTTGCTCACTGTCGTGTGCCGTGGCGCTGTGTCACACTTGTGCCCTCAGCATTTCACACCGGGGCCTACTGAGTAGTGTCAAGGTGGAGCGAAGATTCACTGTGCACATTCAGTGCCGGGAGCAACGAGGCAAAACCATGTCTGATTAATGTGCAGGGGCGGGTATCGCGTGTGGGATGAAGCACCGTAGCTGAGAGAGGCGTTTCCTGTGACTGTGGGCTTCGCAGGCCATGCCGGCTGAGGAGTTCGAGCACCACAGGACGGCTTTTATCTCCGAACAGCTGCGGAAGGCCAACAACCTTTGGGAGGAGAGCTCGTGGATGTGGGAGCCAGTGCTGAATCAGCGGTACGTGTTTGGAAGCCGCTTCCGCGAGGTTCAGGAGCTGAGGAAGGTGACCAAGCGTGACGTGCAGGTGGGGACGATCGCCTGCGGTTTGCTGCTTGCTTCGCTGGTCTGTACGTGCGGCGCTCTGCGTCGACCATGCTTTAAGAGAAGTCACTTGCTTGGGATGCCCCAATGCAACAGATGCCACGCCGGTGCTGCCGTTCAGACACGGCCAGCATCGCCGTCACCGCCGTCGTCCACTCAACGTTGTTTTGGCCCAATGCCATTGAGGATTTTTGTAGGAAACCGGCGGAATCATCTGGGGCCTGTTGGAGCGCGCCGGGGGCCGTTCACGTGCGCAAATCTTCGTTTTCGAATGTCCTAGTCAGTTCAAAGCGTCGACATTTTTCTTGCTTCCACAGGATTGGTACGCGCGGCACCTTTCCCCACACTCCAAACAAAGACGCAAGCTCGCCATTCACGTCGTGTCCGTGTCCCACTGGGAGGCCGACGCCTCTCCAGACGGGGATGACGATTCGGGAGCAACCAACGCCGATGCCGAGGTTGACGAAGTGACGGACGTGGAGGCCTTCCGCCAATCGATGCCTGTCTTCCCGTCGGTCGTTTGCAACGCCAGGCTGGCGGGATCGGGGTGGATAGATCGGACATCCCAGCTGACCAGTTAGGCATTCAGACAGCGTAATTCTTTGTTTCGGCATTAGCCAACATGAGCGTGGCGTACCCGTTCGCCAGAGCAGGCGATGCAGGGAAATTGGGTCCGTTGAAGAGTGTGTTGCTAGCCATTGGTGCATTTCGCGGCCAGCGTTTGAACTGGTTGGGGCCCGAAACGGAGGCAGCCGGGCCCACGCCCGCCCATGGCCCTTTACAGTGTGGGCCTCTGCCCTGACAACGTAACAGTGATGTACACATTAGCTTTGCAATGTGCAGGGGGGCGTGGGCCGGGGACCTGGGGGATTGAACTCGCTGGCCGCTGTGGGTGGTGTTGGTTAGACAACAGTATCATGGGGAAGGGATAGCTTTGTGGGGCACAGGCAGTTGGATTCTTCTTGGGGCGCTGATGCTTTCTATAGAGGCTGGGTAGTGCGGCAAGCGATTACACCGTCAACAGGACATGTTGAGGGTGCAGGTCGTCGACCTGAGATCAACCTCACCATCGGGTTAGCCGCACCAAATTGAGAGTGTGTGATGCTGAACAACGACGCTGAACAGATTCAATGTCTCTTCCGTGGCACGTGTGTGAGACGACAGTACTGTGGTAGCGTGGCTGACACGGGAATTCTAGTGACAGCACGTTATGGCCATCAAGAAACTGAGTGCTGTGGCGTTGAAAAGGGTGCCGAACCCAGCCGTGCCTGCTGTGGACAACTGTGTCCTAGAACGTCGCTATTGGGCATCGGTCGCCGCTCAAACCTTGGCGTTTCGAGGCTCCCGCTGCATTTCCTTCAACTGCAGTCACACACCGATCGCAGCCGTGGGCGGTCACGGGACAAGAAGTTGAAAGCAAAGAATATCCTTGCGTTCCAAGGCTTTTGCTGAAAATTGTGCGCATCGCCAGAGACAGCACAACACACAACACACGACACATGCACGGTCAAGCGCCCACAAGGCTCCCTTGGACCCTGCTACACTACAATCGGTTTGCCACTCCATTCCTTTCACAGCTGTCTATGCTGCGGTCCTGCGCAAATAGGCCCAAAGATTCAGGGCAGGCAGTCGAGAGAACGCTACTGCTGCTAATGTCTCCTGAGAATTGGCCCCTTGGGAGATGTCTCAGGAGGATTCGTTAGCGTTTTGGGGGGCAGCGGCTTGTCCATGCCCGCAACCACATTCTTGCCTAGTGCAAACTTCACTCGATGTGGCTTCCCTTTTTGGGGCGTGTGCTCCGCTCCATTCCCGTTGCTCCCATTGGAGTTCGAGTAGAACTCGACCCATTGCTTGTTGGCATTTTCGACCCTCTCCTTTGTTTCAGGGTCCGGCCCTGTGAGAGCCATGCGCATCTGAGACAGCCACGCCATCGCTTGCTCTGCCATTGTCGCTTGCCTATTCCCACGCTTTGCTTTTTTCTTTCGGCCCCTGTCTCTTGGCAATTCCACACAATGATTATTGTTTCCTGTCCTTGCGCCTTGTTGTTGGAGTGCCTTCGCCCCCTTGCCCTCCACCCCACCCTCGTCACTTGCAGTGTCCTCAATCCACGCTCGGGCAGCGGTGACATCTTTCGGAGCTTTCACCGTGCCATTTGAACTGGCAGCCCCATTACAAGTGCCACCCATCTCCTGCCCATTCTTGGGTTGTTTCCTTGCAGTGGCGGAGCTTGGTTGTTCGGCTGTAGGGTTTGGAACCCCCTTCAGAGTCTCGCTGGCGCCACCATCAGGTTTCTTCCTTTTGCGCTTCCTCTCATTCTTCTGAAAGCCAGCTTCATCTGATGTCTGCAGCCCCAATTCCTCACCCAGACGATCAGACGCCCCATTCACCTGAGCCTGTGTCTTCCTTCGCTCACTGGCCTCCACTGCCACCAGGGCGTCAGCCATCATCTGCTTCTTCATTTTCTTCCTCTTTTTGGAGGTCAGTTGCTGGTTAAGTGGCTCATCCAGGCTCAGCAATGCCTCCATCGCAGCAACATTCTTCCTTTTCTTGCGCCCCACTTTTGACCCGTCTGATTTTGCATCTGTGCTTGCTGGTACAGACACACTGCAACTGCCTCCGTCGTGGACACCTGTGGATGATCCACCCTCCTCAGAAGTCGCAGCGGCCTTGGTGGCGCATGCATGTTCACTGCCTACCTCCACACAATGATCATGCCCCATGTCGCCATCGTGCACTGCCACACTGAGCTCGCCAATTTCCTCAGCAAGCTCAATAGCCGCAGTCCTACCAACCTCTGTGGCAGCCTCCAGGACAGCATCCAGGAACAGTCGTTTCATCCGCAAGGGCTGCATGTTGGCGAAGGCAAGATGGCTGCTGCTCTGGTGCAGCTCATGGAACACCGTGCTCCTGGAAGGGGCAACGAAAGTCAACATCAGATCTACTCAACAAATATCTTGCTGGAAGCATGCAAGTACTGGCATGCAAGTGACAGCCAGCGCAGCCATCAGAAGCACGCTGGTGGTGCAGTGTCGAAACTTTCAGCAGCCATCATTTGCACAAGCGCCAAGAACACCACTCTGCAAACTCTGTGCACAGCGCTGCCTTTGTCCAACAAATGCATTTTGCAGTGAGGGAAGCGAGTTTGTAAGCACCACGCAACAGTGCGTGGTCGTTACGCAAAATGCCACACGAAACTGGACAGGGCTGGGAGCGAATGTCAACGCATGCCCACATACCACAGCAAACTATAGTTGGGGACTGCAAAATGGATTTGGAGCTGATAGCAGCAGCACCATTAGCTGCGGGAACAGCCACTTGTGCTGCAAATCCACAATTTCCAATTCTTTCACATGGTCCTGCACCTGACGCGCTTGACCAGAGCTTCATTGCTGGTTTTCAATATGCAGTTGATGAACGGCTGCAGAAGCAACTTGATCCCACTCCAGCATGGCAGCTTGTGACATGAACCATCCACCACCTTGCAGAGCTCTTCAACATACAAGTCTGCAACATGGTATGCCAGACCAGCAGCCGATGGTCCACTTTGTGGGAGGAAAATCTCATTCTCAAGCACATCCATGAGGCAGCGGCAGTGTGTTGAGCACCTGCGCAACGCACACAGCATCTCTAGGCGCAGCTTGGAGCCCAAAAGGACACCTGTAGGTGCCAATATCATTGCAAAAACACTTTAGGACACACATCAAATGCACTCACAATGCTGCTGGCGCCATGACCTTGATGTTGAAGCATTGTGCGAATGATATTTTGGGATTTTCTACTGTATCTGGTATATTAATGCAGTTGCAACCATATCAATGCCACCACTAGTTCCTTGATTCTTCCCCTTTTCGTTTCTGCATGCCTGCCAAGCATTGTGACAACAGTATAGACAGTACAACTGACGCTATCTCATGATATGAGTTCCTTGAGGTTGCAAGCCAGGACCAATGTGCTGTTTTCCATGTTGCATGTTATGGACACGGTCATGCTTGCATCTTCATAGCCTGGGTGACTTGCTGACATGCACGGGCACCAACGATGAGCCCACAACACAACAAAAAATGCAAAGGCAAAAGCCAAGCCTCCCACTCACCAGCCTGATGCATGAATCCTCCGGAATGTACTGGACAGGAATTTTCGCACCAGCATGAGGAATTTGTCCAATCGCAAATAGTCTATACCAATCCACTCTCGCCTCATTGTGCTGAACAGGCCAGCCACATACAAAGGTGCAACCTGCAGAAGGTAAGCACCACACAAGCATAATCTTGGAGCCAAACCAAAGGCAACAATCCACCACACCAGCTGCTGTGTGTGCATGGAAGCCCTCTTCAGGCAAAGATTTCAGCAACATGTTGATGTCACCCCAAAAGTAAGCTCCAATTGAAGAAACAGCTGTCTGCACTCCAGGCACAGAGCCTCTGGCCAACGCATTCGACAACATTTGCAACACTGTGACAAAATGCAGCCCTTGTACCTTGCAATGATGGTGCCTGACCTGGGCTTATTATCCTCTGGCATGGCGCATTATAACACTTCACAATGTCTCTACGCATTCTTTCCTGTAACAGTAAGCTCCATCATAGTGTGGGCATGGGTTCCAGGGTGACTAGCTACTCAAGAGCATACTACTTGTAGCAAAGAGTATGCATCATTGTTTGGAGTCCCAGCACAACATGCACCCTGTTGTGACTGGACAGTGGATTGTAACGACCATTGTCAGAACAGAACCGCAGCTGGAGCTTTGCACATGTCAATTCACACAAGTTAATTCACACTGCATGCATTTTTAAAAGCTGCTGCTGGGCGGCCAAGGTCGTCATCAACAAGAACAAAATAGCAAGGGCACTGCCATCAAAAAAAGAAAAAAGCAATCAAAATACATTCCCACAGAGTTTGCTGTGACTGCTGAAACAATCCATCCTGGTTGTCACAGACAAACACAACCATTTTCAGATGTGAGTGGGCTGGGCATTATTATTTGGAAATGAACTTGCTGTATCACTTTTAGAAATATCTCCTGAGCACTCTCTTGATCTCTATGAATCTGCCCTATGTGCCTCTTGGATGTTTTCTTCATTTGAACATCCAAACTGTACAGTTGTCCACGATGCTGCAGCTGGATGGCTTGAGGGCACAAAACAACTGACAGAAGGCACTGCATATTGACAACCAATCGGTAAGCACAACTTGTCACCCTACACTGGATTCTCCTTGTCATCTTTGACTCCACTGTGTGAATGCCATCGTTGCTAAAGTGTGCAACTACTGTTGAACAGTTTATGCCTGGTAAGTGCTCCTTTTGATGCTTTTGGAGGCCTGTGAACCATCTCTTTCCAGCATGGCACAGTATCTCCCAAACTTTGTCCTGATGTAGGCAGCTTGCGGAGAATTCAGCAAAGTTTATCTGCAAATCATCGTCCTGCGATGATGGGAACAGGGAAAGGCACTGCTTGGTCTGCGGGATGGCAGAGCGCAACTGCAGGACTGCCAACAGCCAGTATTGCTTGTTCACCTGTTCTTGCAGACCCTCCACGATGCCTGACAGCTCGTCTGCCAAATGTGTCTGCAGCGCAATGAAAAAGGGGTTCATCAGGCCATTTCTCACTCGACAGAGGACCATGAACCTGCTCTCATTGCGATGTGATTGTATTCTTGGTGAATTTTGAAAGTGGTAACGTCCTCTTTGTTTCCACAATGTTTTCATAACGCGTCCACATCCAAATAGCTCCAGAACCGCAGTGCGGCGCCTGCCGCCTCGGCGTTTTAAGCTTGCATTCCTCCCATTAGGATTGGGGATGGCATCCCACAGTTTTGGTGGCATGATTTACTGAGCACCATCCACGGGTGCACAGGGAGAAAAATCCCTGCGACGACAGCGCCTGGTCCGGGGCAGACGAATATGAACACTTCCGGCGACCCTCTTAACCGATCCTTGCAAGGCCGACGGCACGACGCAAGCACCAACATGGGTTCCGTCCTCGCTCGTTCATTGTTCACCATCAGGCCTCGACAGGATAAGCGCGTTCCCCCAACGCCGAATCGCCACGAACCGCAATTCCAATCCTTCGCCCCGCTCCGGTTTCCTGCCCCTCCAACGCCTTCAGACCGCTCGCCGTGATCCCCCATGCCCCCCATCACCCCGCCACCGACCTGGTACGCCACGCCGTCCGCGTGCCAGAACGCGTAGAAGATCCCCCTCCACAGTTTGGCCATGTCCGCCGCCGCCATCCGCGACCGCCCCTCCAGGAACGCCCGCAGCCGGCGCAGTGCGGCGAACCGCGTGGGGTCGTGCGCCGAGCCCAGCGACCGGATCACGCCCGTGGACTCCAGGCGCTCCGCCGCCAGGTCCTGCACCTCGATCACGTCGGGTCGCTTTTTGATCCCGCCCTTCATCTCTGCGGGCGCCGCTGAGGACGGCGATTCGACGGGCAGAGGGGCCGGCAACCCGGCGGATGCACAGTTGGGGGGTACGGCGATTGCTTGGGGTTGACGCGGGGATGATTTTGCGGCGTGGAGGGGAGGCGAGGGGATTGGTGGGGGTGGCGTTGCGGAGGGGGGTTGAGGGGTGTGGGCGCGGGAGGGGCGAGCGTCCAGCCCTGGCGGCCGCCGGCCCGTTTCAGCCAGCAGGCGGGGAGTGGGGGGTGGGGCGGAGCGGACGCCGTCAAAGGCGGCTGACGTGGAATATCAAGGCGCGCACACGCGCACGCGTGTGTGTGTGTGTGTGTGTGTGGTGGGGCGGGCGGGGGGGGGGCACATTAAAGAGTTGATGAGTTTAAATGCGTCTTGGAAGGGGGTTGGTGAGATGAAGGAAAGGCCCCATCGCAATGGCTGCGCGGTGCCTGGACAACGCGGCAAACGCGGCGGCTGGAATGTTCTTTGTGTCGGGTGCCCTGCGAACTTTGAGCGGGGATCGCACCAAGGGGCAAGTTTCGCAGTTTTCTCTGCCATTTGATCTTGACTTCAGTTCAATTCTTGAGCGCGAACCTTTCCTTCCTGCGCACACGATTTGTCAAGCAGGAAACAGGGGCTGAGCCGGGCCGGGTTCGAGCTGACCCGGCCGCTGGTGGCCGCTGCTGCGCATTTCTCCCCAACGCCCATTGCAGTTGGGTGGTTGGCCCTCGTGTGAGTTCTCTGGATGGGCTACCAACGTTGTTGCCGCAGGCTAGAAGGTTACACTGCTTCCTCTTGGATTTATCGGCTTTGACCCGCCGATTGTCGTACATGCGCGACAGACACGACAGCACACCTGTTAGTGCGAACAACGCAAACGATCGCCAGTGAAGCACCAATGTACTGGCCAGCTGGGTGCAGCTGGCCACGCAAGCCAAAACCAGTTTTGTTTCCGCCACTCCCACGGCCTGCGATGGGCGCGAGGGTGGCTCTCTTGGAGCTGTTTGCCAATCGCCGCGTCCTCATCGCGGACTACCGCCACTGCGCTTCCGCCTCCCTTCAGCGCAGTCTTGTCACAGAGGCCAGCGGCTGGCTGCCAAGGAACGCAGCCCACTGGGCCCGGCAGGTGCGCAATCGGCCATCCCAGCCCGCCCCATCCAGGGTGGAGCAGGTTTGCTGGGCGAAGGCTGGCCGTCAGCCGTGGGCCGCTGCCGGACGAGGATTTCTGCGGCGGAGCTGGGCGGCAGGAGATAGGCGGTGCGCGTCGAGATGGTCGGACGCATGGCGGATTCCCGAAGATTGCCGCGCGGAAGTGTTTCACTTCTTGGCAACCCTTGTGGTCCGGTCTCGATCTCTGATCATGGCTTCACGCTTGGACACTGGGCTGCGGGTGATCGTGGGGCTTCCCTGTCGTGGCTCACTCGGGGACGGGGGCGGGGGTGGGGGTGTCAGGGTTGGGCAACGCCGCTTGGACGGGGCGGCGCCAGCGAGAGCACTGCAACGCGTGTGGTCGGCGGGGCGTTCCAGACATTCGGATGACTCTTGCACCAAATTGCGAAACACTGTTGCGCCAGGACCCCTTCAGGAAGCACTGCGTTTCGGCGTGGAGAAGCGCCTTGCTCTGTTGAAGGTTTTTGCATTCCCGGCGAAAGAAAATTGTTGAATTTGTGGAGAGGTATCTTTCCAACAGTTGTTTTGGAAATTTGTTGGACCCAGTTTGCATTCAAAACCGCAACTCATGTCTATATTGAGGCTCAAAACCGGTTCTGGTAATACTGGTGACTTTCGAGTCCGCCAAGCGTCGTACTGCCCGTCGCTGTTGGAGCCGTGTTCCACCGCTTCGGTAACTGTCAAAAGTACTGGGGCGGTGGACTTCTGCTGGACGTTCCTGGCAACAGGCGACGTCGATACATGTGCATTCATTTTATCCACAAAAGTAGCCTTGTCGTTATGTGTGGCGCACACTCTTTTTGCACGGCAGCGCTGTTGTGCGTGGTTACAAAGTGCAGTGCCGAAAGAAAATCAAGATCCCAGGATGTTTGTAAGTCCAACATCTATGGCCAGTACTCAGGGGCTTACAGGAAGATTAGCGTCGCTGCGTGAACTCGTCAGGTAATCACCGCAGTCCTAGTCGCTGCAACCAAAATATCCAGGAGTGGCCAATAGAACACGACGCTTAAATAGAACTGAATCAATAATTGACCTAATTTGAGACCCAAACTCGACGGGACCACGGTGTCGCAATGTGTGTGCATGAACACCCACGCCTGTTGCTTACATCTGCTCTGACGTATTTTCGTTTGCACATATCCGCATAAAGTTGCGGTCGCATTTAGAGATAGTTGCGTTGGTTGCACAGTGCCTACTTGGAACCCCCCGGCACTGGCTCGTACTCGCAGTGGGCTGCGATGTCGTCGAGCGTGCGTAGTGATACACGTTTGATCTGAATGCGAGTGGTGTGGAGCCTTGGCATTTGCGCTTTATTTGTCAAATACAATAATAATAGCCGGCGTATACGGGGCACCAAAGCACGTCTCATCAAAATGGTGACGCATCAGATGTAGAACCAGCCAAACTCTGTTTGACCATATTTGTTTTAAATATGGATTGAGATAGTGGTTACTAACTGGTCTGGGAGGAGTTTCCCGATGTTGTTGCCGCGAGTGGAGAACAAACTTTAAGAAAAAACGCCCTGCATTGAATTATTGTGTTCGCTTAAGCGACCTAACGCAGCTCTCCGTCGAATGCGACATCAAGTCGCAAGTAATGGAGACTAGGCACGAACGTCACTGCACGAGTGGCATGGCTGTGGTCGCGCTACTGCCGCAATAATGTCGAGCGTGCATGGAATAATTCCATGGAACTCGTTCGCATTCTCAAGAAAAACCTGAGTACCTGCAACTTGCTTGTGGCGACATCATCTACACACCCGAAACACTTGCCTTTTCCTCATTTCAACGCTCACCGCTGGCTTGCTCCCCGCACAAGAGCAAATTGGTTCAGACATTCGAGGCGAATTTGGTTTTGACGATGGGGCTTTGGCGGCATCTGCAGGATCTCAGTTTTGGGGCCAATGGGATCTGCGGGATCAAAACTGCACAGCTCAGCTCTGGCAGCTGTATCGCCGATCGGTGAGTCGGTTAATCACAGAGTGCTGAGTAGTTTTGAGTTTTCATATCGAATACAGGATCATAAATTGAGCCATCAACATACCTGCACTCACAATGAACGCAAGCAATGTATATACAAGTCTTATCATGCTAAGTATATCAACAAGTGAATGGCTAATGCAAGCAAGAATAGTGACCACTCAGCCGGTGAATTCACCAACACTCACTGGAAGTGAGTCACTACCGTTATCATGCCCATACATTGGCAAAATGTGCTCCATCACAGGCGACGCATGCTTTTCTGTCCATTCAGTGCGAGACTCATTGTATTTCAGCACGCTGCATGTTCTTGAAATCGTTCGTATGTTGGATTATTTGATGCTCATTTGGTACCTGCATTGGCACATTTGCATCGCATTTACAGTCCCAGGATTGGTGTGCTCTTAAGCGCACCAAGCAGAAATGGGAAATACAAGCTTGTACGAATGTAGTATTGCGGAAAACTGTTGCTCGTCTTTCGGGAAGGATTTCGTCGTTGCATTTTATGGTTCTGCCTGCATCATATATATGCGACCAAATTACGAAATTTGGGCCCGCCTGAACATCGTTTACTTTATAAATTTTGCAATTCCATTATCTTTTCCATTATTTTTGTGTTCACTGGTGTAAAGTGCTTGGACAGAAGCTGTGCAAAACTGTCGCCAGAGCGATACCCTCATACTTCCCGCCCGTACAGCACATCTGGCGACTTGATTGCGGTCCCTGGAAGTGCGTTTGATACGTTCCTTTCTGACTTGGTCATGCCGCTCCTCACCAGGGGCTGCTCTGGCGCGTTCGGCCAAAGTGATCGTGGGAATCAACCTCGTCGGGTTCATCATCACGGCTGCCACTGGAACGCACAAAATCACCGATCTCTTCGTGAGTTAGGCATTGAATCGCGCCAATCGGCTGCAACCCGCACCTGCTGCACTTCATTCAGCCAGCCGTGCCATGAGTGTCGTGCTGTGGGAGAATTGGATGGCCTTGCCGTTGCCGACGTGACCCTGCCTGCCTTGCGTAATGTCTATCCGCGCTCAAGGTACGAGCGCACGCTAGAGCGCCGCTGCAACATGACTGCGCAGGCACAAGTGATGCGTGCGGCAGCAGACCCGCACACGCGCGTTTGTAAATATTCATGCATGTCTCACTGCATTGGGCGAACTCTTGATCATGGAAGCCATTCTTTTTTTCTTTGTGTTTCACGCATCTACGAGGGACACTGCGAGGCCCTGGGAATTCCGGAATGGCAGATGAAATGCCGGCCGCCATGGCCTAAAAGGCGCGAGCGCAGCAACGATTCTCACTCTTTGCCAAATGCAACGGGGAAGTGGATGTGAGGCGCTTATCACCGTCATCCACAGGGCACCGGCGCTTTCGTCGTTGCTGCATGGGTTGGCCATTTCGGGGCCGCCAAGGCGACTCGTGCTGTCAGCCCCTGGCGTGCAAGTCGCAGCCTGCTGCTGACGAGCTGCGTGACGCTGTGGGGGGTCCGGCTGGCAGGGTACTTGTTCTACAGGATACTCATGACGGGTCATGACAGGTGCGGCCGGTGCTGGCGTTTTCTGGGCAATCAAGATTGCAATCTGCGGGGTGGGATATCCTGGTTTTATCATATGCATCAGATCATTGGCGAACGATGCCAGTTCGCTCGCCAGGTAGCTGTTGGTGGCAAGCCCTTCCCATGCATGCTTCCAACGGTAACGCTGTATTCAGCGTTGAGTGTCCACCTGTCTTGTGTAAGGCATCCACTGAAAATGGACAGACTCCGCTTTCAGCCGTCTGGTGCCGACAACGGAAAAATTGACGCCCCGATGGAAGTAATCAAGAACTCCGAATGCATCTCGATGATTACTCGATTGAAGAACTTCAAAGACATGCATATGCACGCATACGCGTGAGCGAAGCAAATCGCGCCGCTGTTGAATAAAAAACAATATCGCCATGGCTGGCTGGTGGCCATCCCGCACTTGCTCGTGTCCACTACACTGTGCCGGGATTTTGCGATTCTTGTGTTCAGAACATATCCACTTTTTATGTCAGTTGGCCTCCACAGTGCATGCGACGCTTTTCCTCGCGTTAATACAAAATGGAATGACCCGGATTCTTCCGGGTTTTTGGAAACAAGTCCACCAACGTCTGATGACTGTGTCCGTGTCCGGATACGAAAGACACGAATGCCAATTTCTGGTTGTTAGGGCTTTTCTGGCAGGGCTTACATGGCTCCTTCATTCCCTTCACGCTCGGCAGTGATGGGTATTAGTCGAACCTCCGCAGGGCCATGTCCGGATTTTTGGTGGCACGGTTCCATCGTAAGGTCGCTCACACTGACAGCTTTGTTTGGTTGCCTGTGCTAAGCCGCCTCGATATGTTCTTCCCGGGGGAAGGAGAGCCGTGGATCACCGGGTCGAGCAGGTAGGGCAGGCGACGATCTTTGACGGCCTTGAAAGTGCATCATTAAAAACCAAATGAGCTTCCGCATCCTAGCGAGTTGATGATTTAGCAGGCAAGTGTGGTTGGAAAGCACGTCATAGTGCTCCTTGAGGACGGAATGATGACGGATATTTTGGGGTCTGGTGGCGTGTCTCTGCTGCCACGAAAGTCGCGGGTTGTGGCCCACCCATTACCGCGTCATGGCCCCCCCTATTCAGCTTCCTCGCAATGAACGTGAGTCACAATGGACTGTGCTTGGCAAGATATGGCAAGTCATGGATCGGGCGATGCTGGACGCTGTTTCACATGCGGAAGCATGTGTTCCCCATGAGGACATCGAGCATATGTTTTTTCCCATTCCGAGCCGACCAAAAGAATGAGTCACTTCGTGCAAATCGTGGCCTCCGTCCATGACAAGTGATTCTTCCCATCAGCGTTGCTGAAATCTGTCTTTGCAGGTTCCCCTTTGGGCTCCTGTTCTTCTGGACCATGCAGAGCCTCTGGGCCTGGACTGTGACGCTTCCGGTCATTGTGTCCCAGGCACTGCCGCCGCCCAAAGGCCCCATGAGCGCTTTTAGCGGCTTGTGTGCGGTGGCGTTTCTTCTTGGGTGGGGTTGGGAAACGGTGGCGGACTACCAGAAATTCGTTTTCAAGAGCGATCCGGCGAACAAAGGCAAATGGATTGACACAGGTGGGAGGCATCAGGGGTTCCTCATGTCGCCGCTTCCTCGGGCTAGTCATGTGTCAGTCCTCCAGCGAGCTGCACATGGGGTCTGTTGTCTGTGCGCACGATGCGCCTTTGTCAATCGTTCGACCCGCTAATGCAGCATGCACCTCCAAAATTTGGTCGAAAGTAATGTGCTCGGCGAATCACCGACCCTTTTGCCACGCAGAGCCAAGGATCTTGCTTGTAGCGCAATGGCGCCCACTCTTTTCTGGCCGGGAATCAAGGCATGTATTCAGTCCCGCTTGGGATCGAAGTGAGAATTTTTGTGCCCGAAATGATGCACTCACTGTTGCTGAACACAGGTCTCTTCAAGTACAGCCGCCACCCAAACTACTTTGGAGAGATCCTGGTGTGGTCGTCCTTGTGCGGCCTGGCGTGCACACCCAACGTCTGGAGGAAGGCCCCTTGGGTTGTTGTTAGCCCGTTGTTCACAGCCTTCCTGCTGCTGTGCGTTTCAGGTGCGATTCGCCCAACATCACGGGCGTTGCAATGTGGTAGTCATTGCCTTGTCAGTGCAAGGATGGGTTTCTGCACATGAGGCGAGGCACAGCTCACAGGCGTTACGAGCAGCTTTGATGTGTTTGCCACAGGCAAGAAAATTGCACCATCCCATTGCCCATATCACACAGTTTGTGGCCTTCTATAAGCAGTGATTGTGCATTGTCGAAATCGTACATGTGCAAGAAACGTATTCGGACAAAACCAAACCGAGGAACGTCAATTAACCGTCTTTGGTCGCAATTTATCGCCACTGTGTGTGGCCCTCCTTGTCCGCCCCAAGTAGGTGCTCCAACTGCAATCTCGGAACTGATGGCAGAGCCAGTTGACGGCCGGCTGCCATCCGGGAGTGCTGCTGTGCTGCAGAGTCCCACAACGACCCTGGTCGCACAGCCTCACAATCCTAACTGCTCAGTTGTTCCCCGACATCACAATCTTGCAGGATCGCAGTGGTGTTGACGTCGTTTCAGCCTGATCCCTGTTTGCATCCCCTTGACGCAGGCGTCCCCATTCTGGAGCGGTCCCATCAGGAAAGGTACGGCCTGGACCCGGCGTACATTCGCTACAAGGAATCCACAAATCTCATAATACCAGGGTGGAAGTGACGTCGCAGGCTGTCTCGAGCATCTGTCGTGCGGGAGGGCTCTGTAGGTCAATTATCATAGCTCCCGTGTGGCGTGGCCTTGGGTCTGACCAAGAACGGAGCAACCCTTGAAGCATCGCGGCTCCAACAGCAGCCGAATGTACATTGAGACACCCGCGAGGTGTTCCAAGCACAAAGCGCAGCTGAGGGTTGGATTTGTGGGATGGAAACAGACCTTTGCAATGGTGCACGAACTGTTGTACAATTGTGCCACATGTGCCAGGCAGGGAACTCATCAGTGGGTTTCCAACAGCTTAAGTTACACGATGCCTGTGAATTCTGGTAATTCTCCATTTAGTTTCCACCTGTTTGGACCCTTTCACTCTCTCACGAGAATGCATGTCCGTCGGAGAGAACATCTTTGGCAAGCCGTGTTATGTTGTGTCCAACATGCATGGCGACGCCGTCCACTGAAGTCCAGTCACTAGTGCACCTGGGTTTTGGGGATACGGCACAGCCTCCGCGCACATCTGCGTACAATGCTTCTGTGGAAGCGAACTCACAGTGTTCAGACCGAAAATTCCAGTTTTACAGTATGTATGCTGTTGTCCACATTGTTCTTTCAAAACCACATGTGGGGTATGAATATGTCTATCTACCAGTCCAATAGTAAACATCGCGCACAACTACCTAGCACAACGAAAGCGAGCATGTCCACCATGCTGGGCCTCCACAGTGCGATCAACAATGCCCAGTGCCATTCTAAACCCCAAAGCAACAGCGGACGGGCGGGTTGCATAGACAGGGAAAGGTGCGGCCATCACGCTTCGCCCTTCTTCTGCTTCTTCTTTTTCTTCGACTTTTCCTGCACTCACACAAGAAGGCTGAGCAGGGTGAAGGAACGAAGAGCATGCGAAGATGATCACTCTGCCAAGGGTGTTCTACTCAAGAATGGACAGAACTAATGACTCAACAGGAGGCGTCAGGCAGGCTATCACAGGAAACGGACACCCCCGCTGAAACTGTCAACGACTGCAATGCATGGGCACGTGAAGGAGATTCCCACAACGCATGCAAAAAGCCGTCTGGAAAGCAGACTGCAAGAACAACGCTGAGGGTGAAGAAAGAATGGCGTGCGGAATCGCCATACTCGTGCCAGAGAGTGCATACCATTAGTGGCTCCAAGGTTCCTCAGAACTATGGAGGGAAAGCTGCTGTGTGTGGACACGTCACGCAGTCGGCTGAGTGTGTTGTGATGGGCCAAAACAGAGCAAGGAGAGTGTGACAGTTTGGGTCAGCTCTGATGCGCTCCTTACCCCTGTCCCTGCCTCTGATGCCTCCACTCCAGAAGCTTCTGACACTTTTCGTTTTTTCTTATCCTTCTTCTTTGTCTGTGGCGTCTCCTCAGCCTCAGGTTCGTTGTCATCTTCCGCTTCTTCTTCCTCTTCTTTCTTTTTGTTTTTCTTCTTCTTTTTCTTCCCCTCTAAATGATCAAAAGAGGAAACAGGCATCAGCATGCTCGCAGCTGACACCAAGGTACACCAGCGCATTATATTTGGTGAGCCCACGCTGTGCCACTGCTGACATTGAACATTGGCTCAACCATGCAGACCTGGCAAGGTGCTGCAATGCCAGAAAGAATCCAAAAGGCGAATTCGCGTGGCATACTTCGCTCGATGCACAGAAGTACTATTGCCATCACCATTACCATCGTCTGGACAACTTACCATCAATTCCAGCATCCGGGCTGCCCAACTTAGTGGTACTCTTGTCATGCTTCCTCTTTTTCTTGTTGGTTCCAGTCTCGAGGTCATCTTCCTCCTAAATACAGTTGTAACCTTTAGCACGAAGTTCCAACATGTGGCGGCCCAAGAAAAGTCAGGCCAGCTACACAGGGCTGCAAGGTGCAGTACAGGTGGCAATGCAAAAGCAGCAGTTTCAGAGGCAAAGCATGCAAGTATCCTTGCCAGCGCACAGCCTCCACAATGGAAGTTACTTAAAGTACACAGAATTTGCCCGTCCATGGCTCGCCATGGTTTGACTAACAGGGACACAACATTGAATGAATGTCTACAGTCCCAAACTGTTGCAGACCTGAAATCCCAGTGTCTGCTGGTAGTCAAAAGCACGCCGTTTCTGAACTTCATCACCACGAAATCGGATTCCTCACAGCTTGAACACACTGCCAACAATGCTTTATGCAACTCTCCATACAATCCACCAAAACACCTGCAGGCCAGCTGCCTGGCACTGCCCATTGATGGTCAAAGCAATGCATGGCTATGAGACGGCATTGGCAAAGCATGGACCACAACTCATGCAGCACAAGAAGAGCCAAGCAATTTTCAAGAATTTCTTGCGCCCAATGGTGAAGTGAACTGCACCTTCTTAACCATGGCCACATCAGCCGCCCCATCGTATGTCTGCGCTTTGACGGCGATTCCCCCAGCGCCTGGCTGCCTCAGTGGATCGTGTTTTGCTACCCCTTGCTGCACTTTAGCCTGGACACCCAGCTTCTTCAGCATCCTGGCCTCCAGCTGTTGCAGACGAGCTTCAACCTGGAAATGGGACAATGAACTACCAGCAATGAGGGCCAACACTGCCATGCACTCTCGGTGCATGGGGCAGCAGCTACTTTCCTTTGTTCAACTTTGCCTTCAAAACACAAGGCAGAGACCTTTGCATTGTATGCGCTGTCTGGCCGTTTAGTGGCAAGTGCCACTTTAGACCTGCACAGAGCCTGTTTCACCCAAGTACACGTCGTACTGCTTAGGGTCTGCAGCCGTCAAGGAAAGGGGCTGGGGGATATATGGTGTCAGACATCCCCCTGCACAGCCAGCGACACAGTTCGTCACTGCAGAGCATCCCCCCACATACGCTGTTGCCACTATTCACAGCCAACAGAGCAAGTGGTGCTTGTTCTGATAAGACAAGCAAGCTGGCTCAAAAATGTAGGTAACCATGTGCAGTATGCATGAGCAGCATTTTGCATATTCGAACAAATGTGTCTACCAGTGTTCCAAACTGCAAGTCCCACGGGCAACACATTGACTTTTTGTTTGATGCGATTCCCACCTGCTGCCGTGAATGAACTCCAAACGATGCGTCTGGTGCATCCCCCAAGGCATCAAACCTCACAGCCAGTGCAGACTTGCAGGCCAACAACCGCGATATCTTCCCCTTTATCTTGGGGGCTGACTGGCCTATCAACGATGCATGGAAAATGAGGCCATACTTGGGCGTCTGGCTCTTTGTCTTCAGGGCCCTGAACAGCGCCTTCTCTGCACCCAAAATTTGGATTGTGCTACCTGGATGCTTCGCAAGATTCATCAAACTGCCAGCATGGGCTATCAACCGTGCACCCACTAGTTCTCCAACGAGTGCAGTGAGGTTGGGGGCTATGGCACTCATTCGATTCTTCAAATAGTCGAACAATTGTCCCCTGTAGTCAGAGAGGTCTATGACCTGGTCGCACAGCGCAGATATATTATTCATGTCTTCCTCACTGATTTCTGTGCCCATCGAAATCTGAGCTGAGTGCTTGACAGCTTGTTCTGTCTCTTCATCCACAATGTCAGACATGTCAAGAAGTGAAGCATTCTCTCGGACCCGCATTTGCTTCACCTGTTGTGGTTCATGGCACAAAAACCATCAGCTGCTGTTCAGTTCCAACAGATAGGACAAGACAATCCCCAATGCAGTGCTAAACCTCTATAACGATGAAAGACAAGTGGTCGTCACACATCGTCTTTTCTTGCAACAGTCTTACTCAATTCGATGCTCATAGTGTCTGACACATGTCAGTGGCCTAACACTATCCATTCCGCAGACAACTCATCGCCATGAGATCCTGGTGTCCACGGAGGAAAGTCCTAGCCCACTACTTCATTGCCTACCAAGCTTGCTTGTTTGTTTGCCATCTCCACAAACTGCTGCATCCACCAAATGTCAACTCATGCCATGCACCTTACACATCTACAGAAACCAAGTTCCCAGTCCATCTTTTCTCAAAAGGCACTTGGCAAAACAACCAACTGGGCAGTGGCACTCAAATCCATGCCGATTCCATCTGTCTGCAATACATCGATACCAATTACCTTAACACATGCCAGGGACAAAGGCAAAGGCATGCATACCAATGTTCGATCACTACATGCTGTGATTTCCCTCCCACCTGGGCACATTCACCACTCACCAGTTTTGCATACTGGATGTTGTCAGTAACGATCTTTCCCATCTCTGGGTAGTGCCATCCATACCACTCCCTAACCCTCATTGCATATGTGTTAAGTTCTTTGTCCAAATCGTCCAACAACCCGATGGCCTGCACTATCATTGTGTCCACCTGTTGAACCACAAGAACTTACTGAACATTGGACACAGCAACAGAAAAAATGTTCAACACAGCAGGCCCAGCAGAATGCGAACTTGAATATAGTGCTGGACATGTTGCAATTTTATTGATGCAGGTCCGCATCACTGGCAAGTTTGCCTGCAAAGGGAGTGAAGTGTTGCATTTTACCAACGATGCCATATTGTCATATTGGAATTTTTCCAAAGAAAAGAAGGATGAAGAGAAGGGCCTGGAATCTGCACAAGTTTTTCAGCTCCAAAACCACACAACATCTTGGCAGATAAAGAGCATAGTAAATGTTCAAAACTCCTGAAATAAAAATTTGAAGAGGCCACATCCAACTGCTCAAGAATCTTGGGGTTATTGGAGGGTCAATGGAACAGTGAGAATTATCGAAAAGAACTGATGCTGTTCTTTTGCGGTGCGCCGGAGGATATGGATGAATTGAAAGTGGCAAAAGATTTGCATGCAGCACGATATGCAATCCTTGACTGTGCTGCAATCACTACCCAGCTCAATGCAAAGAGTGCAAAAGGGGCTTTCAGGCCATTATTCACTGATGTTTGGCCCCATCTCCTCACCTTGTCAGGACTGAACTTCAGCTTGTACCGAGAGAGGCTGTGACTGAGACCCAGCTGCAGATTCGAGCTCGACAAGCCACTACAGAACACAACAGCACCACAGATGGCAGTGAGTTCAGATGTCTCTGTGCTGCCGCTCATAGAATAGTCTTGTACCCTGTGAAAGGGCAGAAAATTGGAGGAAAAATTGTCATCAGCGTTCATGATACCTGTGGCAATGGCATGGCAATGCCCTGTGTCAAACATCCCCTGCCCAAGACAAAGATGCAAGGCCTTAACGAACTGGAACCAATCGGTGGACCCTATGGCTGTAAGTTTCGAGCTCCAAAAACTTTGCGAAGGATGCTCACCTGATGAGTCCTTCAAGTTGATTTCGAACGCCCCTCGTCAGCTCCAGAACACTCTGACTGTGGACAATCACAGTGATTTTGAGCATAGGTCACCAATATCCATAACAGAGAACGCAATGGATGTCGCTGCAGTTGCCAAATGGTTTTGCGGGCAGAAAACGTGACCACCAGCGCAGAGTGTCTCCTTCCAGCTGGCGGTCGACCGTGTCGAAATGGCCATTCGTGCTCGCGTAAATTTGTCAAGAACCCAACGCTCATGAAGCAGGCAACAACGCCCCAAGATCGCTGCAAGCCGGCATTTAGATGCTCCCGCGCCGACCGCTGCCCTCTGCGCAAAGCAGTTGAGCGCCGGGACTCGGCGGAATGCCGCGGAACCCATTGGCCACCTGTATAGGCATGGTATCCCGAGCTTCTCCTTGATGACGTTGCCAAGTTTCGTGTCCACGATCAGCAGTTGCTCATCCGGTCCCGCCTTCTTCTTCAAAAACTTCTTCAGGCCTGAAAGGGTAAGGCGAGGGTGAGTTCGCAACCAAAAGGGGCACCAAAACACGGCTCTCCGCGCCGCGCCCGCCAGCCGCCCACCTTTGCCGAGTTTGCTGTCCACGATGGCCGTGGCGGCCGCCAGGGCCTCCGTGGTGCTGACGAACTTCTGGAACGACTTCAGCTGAACCACCTGGCCAAACGCGCACCAAACAGGATAAGCCACGCGTCGCGCCGCCGCCAAGGGTGGCTGCCGTCAACCCGGATACGCTCCCGCCGTCGTCACCTTCTGGGCTTTTTCAAGCGTCTCAAAATCCTTCCACAGGTCCTGCACACCCGGCCAGCCAGTCAGATTCCACGTCCGTGCAGATCGCCGAGACAAGACGAGCGCCAATTCGGGAATGGGTCGCCCGGCCACGCACTGCTGCCTCCTTCAGCTTCTTCTCCTTCAGCACTTTGAACAGCGCGAAGCCGGCGGCGGTCTCCACGAGCAGCAGCATCGCGACCGCCCGCCCCAGAGGGGCTGCACCTTCGTGGTGGGGCGCCCGCGCGACTACGTGACGACGCGGGGGGTTGTGGTGGGACGACCTTGGGGATCGCAGCCTGGCGCACGGAGCGGGGAGCGGGCGTTAGTAGTCGGGCGCAATGGGCATAACGCCAGGGCTGAAGAGCGACAGTACTAGGTACCCAAGACGCCAGCACAGGGGTAGTTTCTAATCCGGGGGCGAACGCCTATTTAGGTTGAAGGATTTCCTTCGGTCTTGTGGGTCGTTCCCCAGTTACTGTGGGAATCGCACAGTCTGTGAATGTGCAGGACCTGCCACCAGCCTGGCGGTGCGCGTTCAAGCCATCCGCAAACACCCTCTGACGACGGTGCCAAACTGCCCGAGCACCAAATTAGTAAGGCAGGTTGCTTTGGGGTTTGCTGTGGGTCGAGAACTGGAGCCAAAACGACTTTCTGAAAAAAGGATGACAGGGCCAAATGACTTGAAATGATATTACTGCCTACACCAAATCGGTGGCTGCTTGCACCAAATCACGTGCACACTATGTCCTAACCTCAGTTTTAGGGTTAGGTTTAGGTTTAGGGTGAGTTTTAGGGTAAGGTTTAGGTTTAGGGCAGGTTTAGTTTTGGGGGTTAGGGTTTAGGTTTTAGGTTAGGTAAGTTTTGGAGGGAGTTGGTGCAAGTAGTCACCGATTTAGTGCAGAAGTCACCGATTTGGTGCGGCCAGTAATTTTATGCCAATTGACTTGGGCTGCACCTTGATCCCTCGGGGACGGGCTTAGGTGGTGGTCTGCAACCGTTGTCGGTGAACGAGCCCACCAGGACAGTGGGCCGCAAGTGCCGAATGGGGACCAGCGCACCGCTGCTGCGGTCGGTCTACAGGAGCGTGCTGCGCAGGTGGGCGGCCCGCATGCCGCTTGGCAAGTAGCCTTTGAGAATCTGATCCCATCCCACCCACCCTCACCGCGGTTGTTGTGTGGCCGGCAGTGCGAGGCGCATCGACGAGAACCCGGGCTTGAAGGTGCGCCGCGCGCCTTGCGTCTTGCCGCGGCACGCACAAGTGATTTGGGGGAGATTGCAGTGGGCGTCCGCGGCTGCCAAATGCTTGGGCCGAGTGTGACGTGGCCGTGATTGGCTGGAGTGGCAATCGTAGGAGAGGCGCCAATTTATGTGCCCCCAAAGATCTCAGCCGAAAATCCGTCATGGAGGCCTGATGGACGCTGTGAAGCTGTGCATGCATTTGAAAGTGGTGGATGTTTGTGCGCTTGGGGCATTGCATTGGCCCATGTTGCGGAACACTGGCCTCTTCTAACGTCACCGCAGCAAGGCTGCGATGGACCAGACCATAACTGTCATTTCGAGAACGTTAATTACGGACCTCCTGACGAATCCTACTTTATTATCTGCCATCCAATTCCTCGCGGTTGTGTTTCTGACTTTGCCAGTGCCAACTATGGGGAACGGGTCAATGCTCTGATATTGTCTTTACTAAGAAAAACAAAACATGTCCCTCATGGGCATTCTCCTTCCTGACCAAGACAAGTGAAGTGAGACAGAAAACATCCTCAAGGTGAACGATTATATAGTCCAAGTGCATTTTGGCTGGGAATATCCTGTGCACTAGGATGTGCAGACTGAATGCAATTTGCACAATACTTCCGATGAACTTGCCATGTTACAGCTCAAGGAGTTGCCTGGCTGCACGCTATGGTTCCCTGTTGGTAGTGCAATTGGGCATTGATGAGATCGCTAGTGTGGATAAGAAAACAAAGAGCCAACTCATGTTTCCTTCTAGCTGCATCAATGCCTCTGGTGCAAATAATCCACCAATAATGTGTCATCGGAGCAATGCTCAGGAAGCGCTTCCACTCAGCAAAACTTGTTTCAGTGCTCGCTGGAACTCATGGCCTTTGTAATGGTAGTTACAAAGAACCTTCTATAATCTTATTCAAATTCTTGAATGGGCAGTTGTAAGATATCGTCTTGCATTCAATTGGCTAGCATTGGCTGCATTGCAGGCATTGTTGGGTGCTGCCGACAACAGTTCAGACCTCTGTTCAGAAGCTCGGGTGGTGTTGGAAAACTACATGCAAGGCCGAACGCTGTATATACCTGATCCGCAATCCAAATACTCCCTGGTGGACAGGGCCAGAGAAGGTTCAGTGCTTCTGGTGCGAGCAGGCAAACTCCCCTGGAATACAGCTGTCCAAAAAGCCATGACGAAGACGCCCCTTGCACCATGCATGCAGTGATGTGTTCATAGAGTTTCAAGCAGTGCTTGTTCACTGTTCCAAGACCTCAATTCAGCACACCGCACAGTTGCACATCATGCAGAGCATGATATTGCATGCAGACAGAAGTGTCCTCTTGACAATGGTGGGGCAAGTGGACAATTGTTACCATCTGCACCAGGCATGACACTATGCCTGGTTCAAGTTCACCCTGTCCTGGACAGTCAAAGCTGGAGCTGTGCAAGTTGTTCATGCTCCATGAATCGAGGATGTTCAATTTTCGATAGCAATAGAAAACAGATGCATTCCCAATTGTGGGAGAACAAACACTTGCTTGCTTGCCCAGGTTCTCCATCATGCGTGTTGTGGATGCTCTTGCCTGTATTGCCTGTGCTAGATGCATCGTGCATTCAATGTGATCTGGCATGACTGCCATTTCAATCATGGGCAATCCATGTTCATTGCATGGGCTCAAACACAGCATTTTTCGATCATTGCACTCAAGTTGTGCTGTTGCCAGCTTTGGCTGCACTGCAGTCTTTCTTACCTGAATTGTGCGCCTTGTGGAAATGTCAGTGCATGCACTGTCTAACTACATTCATGTTCGTTGAGGGCCTGCCAACTCAATCTGATGGACAGGCAATGGATGCAACATGTCCAGAATGTTCAGATCTTCAAGTCATGAGGACATCTTGACTGTGTTGCCAGCGTCGGATGGGCAGCCTGGATCAAGGACTTGGAGCTCTGAGGTTTCTTAACAGGATAATTGAAGGAGGAAAGAAGCAACAACTGCTAAGTAAGTAAGTACGTTGCAGCCTGACTTATGCATCATGACATGGCAATCAGTTTGGGACAGCCACGGACAGCTGAAACCAACGGCACTATTGTTGTACCCTGGACTCTGGAAGCGAGCTGCTGCGCCAGCGAATCGGTAGGCAGCTTTCAGCCATTTGTTGTTTCATTCCAAATAGCCCAGCAACCTTCTGCTGTTCAGCGTCTTTGCAGTTGTTAGCCGGTGCGTGATTGAGGCCCCCTTTTGCCCTTCGCGTCAATGCCAGCTCTGCCTGCGCAGGTTTTCCCTCTGTAGAAATTGCTTCTCGTGCAGTGGCCATCGGAGGTTGACACATGCTTTACTGCCATCGAAATGCAAAATTCTGCTGCTGCAATGCGCCACATAATGGGCGGCTTCATCCAGATTGCGAATTTGATTCGGAACGTTGTGTGCCACAGATGACCAGTTGTCGCCCCTTGCAGCAGAACGCATGCCTGATTCAAGAGACAAGGTGAGAAAAAGAACCCCTGCACTGTTGCGGTATTGCCTGCTTTGCAGCTTTGCTCTCTTCTACTGATTCAGGTAACGCTGTTGTGTTTGTCTTGGTCATGCTAAACACAGCCTTGATAGACATGGATACTATCATGAAATAATGCGCCAAACGAGAAATAAAGCACCGTGTGTGGCTGGTAGTCGTGTGACAACACCTTTTCTTCAATAATAGGACTTATCGAATGTCGAACGAACTCAAAACGCCGAGAAGGCCATTGTGCGCACGAAATCCCCCCACCTTTTGTGAATGCGTTCCTCCACCACGAGAAGTCTGTTCATAAAATGGCGTATCTGGCAAATATTCATTTCGTCGCTGCGTGGGTCCAGGTGTCTCTTGCAGAAGAGCCGGCACCCGGAGTGGTCCTCCTGGCCCACCCTTGCTTGGGCGGATGGTTCTCTCGAACAGCAGTTCTTTTGGTAGGGCAGCCTTCTTCTGACGAGAAAGTTAACGAGTCATTCCCGGGTGGAGGAAGTGCGCTGCTTTACACTTCTTTTCGCTCGTCGCCACTATCCACCAGCTCGAAAAATCTCTGGATTGGAGTCAATTTTGATATCATCTTGACAATGGGCGCCTTCAAAGATCATTCCACAATCCGAATGCAGCACAATGTGTATTGCATTTCCCCACCACCACCCCCACCCCTTCCTCTCCTCCCAGCCACGGCGCAGACTGACCGCTGTCCCCCAGCCTTCGATCCCAACGTGGCATCTTTGCTTCTGGCCAAGCAGTATTATTCTGCGTTCTTGTTTCTCGTTCCGACATGGACAATCTGCAATTGTCACGAACCGTGTTGGGCATTGGACCATCAACCCGGCATGTACGAGCAGGAGAGCACGCTAAAAATGCACCAATATACGCAGTGTCAAACCACACTCCCACCCGCCTCGCTGCTGCAGGTTGAGCACAACAAACTGGGATCGAGAGGCGTGTGTCTGAACAAGCCCCTGGCCGCGACGTTGAAGGACATCAAGGAGAAAGCGCTGAGGTAGCCCCACAGCTCGAAAGGTGCTGATTCCTCTACAATACTGCTGATTGGGGAGGGGGAGAATTGCAGGGAAATGTCCTCCGGGAGTACGTGGGGCAGGGAAATGCGCATCCATATTGCCACAGCCGCCCATGTTGCGTCCCAGCGCGTGAGGACAGCGCCTTGTCCAGGCACTGGTATCGCCAGTCCGGTGAAATCAGGGATTGAAGTGGTTGTCGAGTCCCTCCACGTCCTCGGCGTGTATTGCTGTCGGCCATCAGATTTGCCTCTGCTGTGCGCAGAGCCATTCGGGATGCAGGCGGCTCGCTGGATTTCGTTGAAGTGGAAGTGGAAGGCTTTGGTGTGGTCAAGCTTCAAACACAGGCAGGCGCACCACAACACCAGTGATGGGATGCCACGATGCTTCTGCCCATGGGTTTGGGATTATTTGTCTATGTCTGCGTGGCTGGCTTCCATACTACTCCTGAGTACTTGCCCCTTTGTTCTGTGCATATGGTATGATCTTGCTCACAGTTTCAAGGATGTTGTCGTGCACGGAGGGCATCCAGAGTGCAAGAGTGTCACGAGCGATTGTACAGATTGTGATTGTGAACCCACGATTGTGGGATTGGGGAGTGGGTGGATGGTGGGGGGCACACCCTCCTGTGGCCATCGTTTGATGTGTCACCGTAGACACTGGAAGGTGAGTGGCCCGTGGCCCCACATACCCATATGGTGCAAGGAAATGGGCACCGCTTTATGAAATCTGGACAACGTGTAATCCAAGGAAACAATTGCTTGCTCTCGTTACAGTGGTCTATGCAGCTTCCGTCTTCAGACGAACCAGGCGGCCAACAACGCGCTGCGTCCACAAAGATGGAACAGCACTCCTGCCCAGAGGACACATCCTCGTACAGGCAGTATTTGGAAGATCTGCAGGATGTCCGGGAGTCCTTCGAGGCCAGGCAGAGCCGCGGCGATCGCCTCCATCCCAGGGAACAAGCATCTCTCAGGGCCCTGCAGCGGGTGGTGGGGAGAGAAGATCCAGCAAGCTCCCAGTCCCCATCCGAGCTGGGCACTGACGATGATGTGGGCGTTGCCTTGGAGCATGGTGGCAGGGATGGGCACGCCAGGGCTCGTGCCGCCAAATCGCGCCGCAGCAATCAGCGATTGGCACACGTGCGGCCAGCAGAGGGGGCGACGGGCTCCAGAAAATGCAAAGCGGCCATGAGCAAGCAGGAGAGGAAGAACAAGGACATTGCCGAGGCGTTCATCAGTCTGGAAAACAACAGGCTGTCCAACGGTGGGCCCGTGTCCCAGGTCCCCGTGCTGCACTGCATCCCGCACCTCGGCGGCAGCCACGTCCTGGAGGGCGTTTTTTGGTGCGAGCAGTCCAAAGTGCTGCTGTCCGATCTGGGCGCTCTTGACCGCAGGAAGGTGCGGTTCTTCTTGGGCGAGGCATCCTGGTCCCCTGGCCAGCTCGAGGCGGAGCTCAAGATGGGGAGCTGGATAATGGCCAGGGCGCCCGTGGGCACTCTGGACCTCATGGACCAGGGGTACTGGTCCTCGTTCGAGGGTGCTTCGGTGGAAAGGCAGCACAAGGACCCCTCATTTCTGTGGGAGAAGCTCATGAGCGGCTTGGGCGGGGAGTATGCCATCATGGCCAGGATGCCCCCTTGGGCAGCGGCCTTCGGAAATGACATGTGATTCTGCATCATGCGAACAGTGCAGGCCACGAGTGCCAAATCATTGACAGGCATGGCTTGCAAACCATTGTCAAAGATGTAACAACATTGGCAGTCGCCAATTGCTTTGCTGCATCATCATCTCAATCATCCAGCGCGGAGGGCCAAGCCCAATTCCAAGATCCTATGAAACTAGAAAATGACAGGCAAACCGTTCATTTTCGTTGCCCACTGCCATTCGTTCGATATACAGCAGGACTCCAGCCAGGCTGGTCTACACAAACAGCTGACAGCACATCGCAGCATTCTGCCTACAGAAGTCTCTGCAGATGTCTTGTGATGGGTCTTGCCTTCGATCCCATAATTTCCTGCATCGCAGTAGGCCAAGCTTCAGACCACCCGCTGGGTTGTTGCATGCCTGATTTGGAGGTGGACATCGCCAGTCACGTTTGGCTTGACTGGCAGCAGCAATCAGCAACGTGCTTGGTTGCTGCTCCCTGAATGCTAGTTTAGGAGACCAAAAAAGAACAGGCACTGAAGTGCATGTTGCATATCTACCAGGTATGCTTTCCAGCCCTGTGCAGGAAACCTCCAAAGCACGCTCAAGATGCAGAATGAGTCTGAGACAAGGTGGTGGCTTTTCTGCAATCGTGGCAGCAACGGCCACAGCTGTCATTCGCATCACTGAAATTTTAAAACCCAAGTATAGCAACCTGCCCTGTCACGGTAGGGAGAAAAAAGAACTAACGGCATACACAGCTACATCAGCTGTAAGAATTGTCGTGAAGTTGCAGATCAGAAAAATAGAGCAACCTCAAATTCACGATAACCAGCATAGGTAATGTCAGCACACAATCCTGGAGACCTCTGACATACTGCCATTCTACTATCTGGGACCAAGTCATTTTGTTTTACGGTGCACAAGGCACCTCCTTTCCGTGCATTGCTTGGGGCAGCAAACGCATCCCCAATGCAAATGGCCTATCGCTGCAGCTTACAAAGTTCAGATGTGTACAAGCCAGGCCTTCGTGCTGGCGATCGGCTGCACATGCATCTCCAGAACACTGTCATTGGACAGCAGCCAAGCAACAAGAAAGTACCCGCAAAGCACCAACCCACATAGTACTCTGGGGGTCAACAAACTGCATCGATGGCAGCTCACACCTTGGCAGTTCCTGCGTTTGTGTGCCAGTCGATGCAACTTGAGCTGACTGGTTGTTTCAAAGCTTGCCAGTCAAAACGACACCTGATGGATTTGAATTTTACCAGGGGTCCCTTTGCGTAAAGTGCAACAAGGAATCCAGGAGAGACTGTACTGTGCTATTCTGACACATGCAGGCATATTATACTTAAACATGGCCCACCGACAACAACTTGTTGAGAACTTTGGCTGCACCCAAGGGATCCTCAGCTATTTTCAGCCTCCTTTTGGGTGGTAGGGACTGGCACAAGTAGATACAACTTTTGTCATACATTCAAATGCCACACATAAAAGTGACCCTGCTGGTGAGCATCCATCCAGCCAAGACATTTGCATGTGTTCAGCTGAACAATTTCGCTATTACCCTATCATGCACCACCCCCCTCGTGACTTACCATTTCAGCCTCAGCATACTCTGCACAAAACTGGTCTCCAAGGCCAGAGCTCCACGACTCCATCTGGCAGAAGGGACGAAGCGGTTTTTCCCATGTGCAAATTTGCCTCCTGGGGAATGTCGTTATCCACAGAGAAAGAAATCCACAGAATCTGCAGCAGCGTTGAAGGGAGATGACTCTACACTTTCCCACGGAATGAAGACAAATGATGACATGCCCCGCTTGTGCTCCCTTCGCATCCCCGCAGCCTCCTCCCCCTCTTCTGGGTCGACCTCAGCATCGTCCTCTTCCAGCCTGCCATCACGGTCAGTCGTGACGATGGACAATGGATCCAGGCGATTGTGGGCACCCCTGCAGAACCATCAGCACACACCAGGATGTTCGTGACAAGACTCAGGTGGCAGCTTTGGGCAATTGCATGGTGTGCTTCCTTTCCAGTCAGTTTTGCGGGGATGTTTGACACTCTTGGTAATACAACGGCAATAGCAGCAACAAAACAAACTGCCATGGTGCTGTTTGTTTACCCACTCCCCCAACACACAAACAATCCCCCCCATCCCAACGAATTTCTCCTTGTGACTATGAATAGTCCTGCTATTCTTGACACACACAGTCTTTGCCAGGTGCAGTAAATTCTCAATGCTCACTGCATCACCCAGGCTTCGCCAAACCGATTACATGCATTGAAGAGTTGTTCACGGATTTAAAGCCAGCACCAACCTGTGAGTCGACCTTATCCTCAGCTTCAGCCTCAATTCAGTGGACCCTGAGTTCGGGTAGACAGCGACACACGATGCAACACCACCTGAGATGCGGTACTTGCCCTTCAGCACATCAGGCCTGGAGGCCTGTTGGCCCCGCCAGGCAGATTCCAAGGGCTTCAGCAGCCGGCGCACAGCCTTGACAGGGATTTCTGGGGTGGTTCGATAGTACATGGTACCATCAGAAAGGAATCTGATGTATCGAAAGTACACCACGAGGTAGACAGGGGGGCCACTGCGGCGCTCGCGCCACTCCGGGCAACCTGTCCGAACGTATGTGTTCCGTGAGCAGTAAACCTATACAGGCAAAGGCAAAGGCACGATCTCAGACAGGCAAATCGCTTCCACCAAAGGAAGGCAGGGTGGTGGTGCCAACGGTAGCAGACACACAATCTGGCGTTCAGTAGGTTGACACACTGACAGATTGCCCAGTCCTTGATCCATGCTGTTGCGCTCTTTGGAGCCACACGCTCCAGATGGCATATGTCCGCCCCACCAAATGACAAGGGTTGTGCGAGACAACAATAGAAAGACAATCTAGTACAAAAGCGACAAGGATTAGGTGAATGCAAGCGTCCCCGCCCTCCCCCATCCCCCCCCTGGCCTCCCGCAAATCAACGCGGCAGACACTCCATCAAGTCCAAAGGCTGAGAGCGTATTGCACCGCAAATGTTTCTTCATGGAGGCTCTGAAGCCTAATCAAAGAGCGGGTTTGCCAGAGTATGCTGGCACAACTATTGACTCCCCTGGCCTACCTCGCGGAAAGAGCAGCGACCTGGGCAAGGACGTTGGGGGAGAGGAGCTGCAGCGCTCCAAAGGCGACGCACAGGCACACGCGGCTCTTCACCCGTCACCCAAAAAGCCCGACACAGCCCGAGCGCTGCCGCGGCCCCAAAAGGCAACATAAAGAAAGCCGCCTTCCACCCGTTGGCCCACACCCCGCAATCGCAAAAACTGCGCGACGGCACTCGCCGCCATCCCCGTAAAGGCAAAAGCAGCCGAGACAGGCTTGCGCCCGTCGCGCCGGCGGGTCCGCACCCCGTCGAACCGCAGGTGTTCCCGCTCCAGGAACATCCTCTTCCACGACCCGCCGTAGCACGCCCTCAGCACCTCCACCGCGTCGCCGCCCTCCGCGTGCGACTGCGGCCGGAAGGCGTCCAGGCACGCCCGACGCCACAGGCCGGGGTGCTCCACCAGGATGCGCCACTGCCGGCAGGCGCAGCCCGCCCTCCCCAGCGCGAAGGGGCTCAGCCAGCCAAAGATCATGATCATCAGCTCGTCGGGCACAGCCCTCTGGATCGGCGCCAGCTCTGCGGGGGCGACCGCGGAGCGCAGGCGGTGGCCGTAGAGGCGCAGCCAGGGGCGGTTGGCGTGAAGGTAGTGCGCCACGACGTGGACGTCGGGGCCCGCCGAGGGGCCCGCGCCCAGCGGCGCGGCAACGGCGGTCGACGCCATAGGGTCTAGACGAGATGAAACGGTTCGCCTGGGGCCGTGCGGGCAGCCGGGGGAGCGACGGTGCGGTGTGCGGCCACCCGGGGTGCTGTGGCGCGGATTCTGTGGGGCCTCCACGCGTGTGGCCTTTAACAGAGGCGCCGGGAGTGGGCAGGTGTGGTTGTTGGAACGCGAACGGCAAGCATCATCGTGGCAAATGAGGACGCGCCCTTTGCGGGTATTAGCCGGGACTTGTCGATGATTCCACATCGCCGCATGAACCGCCCAGTGGGGACCCACTGTCGCTTCGTGTGCGTGCTTTCCGCCTCCGCGGAGCATTCCTTGAGGCCCGGATCCACGCACTGCCGTTACTAATCATTACACAGCCGCTCCCACCCCAATACCAGGGGCACCCCGCCACCCCTCCCCCGATGTGCGGACACCACGGGAGCACGGGACGCCACAGGCGGCTGTCAGCGGCGCCGCCCCGGCGAGCCCACCAGCGGCAGGCCTCCCGGGCCGGCGCGCCCGCGGCGCTGGCGTCCGCATTCGCGGTAGGCACCCCCCCGGTCCGGCAGGGTCGAGCATCTGCTGGAACTTGCCTGGAAACGTGCGAAGGGCGTCCCCTCCCAGTGGGTGGTGCTCCCGGCGCGCCGCGCCGGGCTGGGGCGCGTTCCCGCCGCCCACGCGCTGCGAGCGCGCGACTCTTGGGGGGCAATTGCGCTGGATTGCGGAGACTGGGATGGGTGGGCAGTTGCGTCGGCACCCCCGTGTCCGCGTGCCCTGGCCGTCGGATTCAGTGTGCTCCTGTTCTGGACCGACGAGAAGGCGGGGGCACGTGTGGAGGGAGTGGAAGCGGGCTGTCTACGAATATGGGAGTCCAAAACAGCCATCTGTGCGCTTGGGCGGTGTCTTAGCTTGGGCTCCCGGGACTTATTGGGTCGCCAGCGTTATGGCGTTGCATCGCTCGGCCACTGCGTGTGATCACAGCGTTTCCGCAAGTGGGCGGTGGCTTGTCGGGGGTTCGTGGCCTCTCAACGTCCAGTGTTGCAGGTCCCGCCCACAGAAGCAATTGCAGTCCAATGGGTGGGCGATGGGTGCACGAGCAGCCGCCCCAACTGCTGTACTGTCAGGTGGTGGCTCAAAAGCCTGTCGTCAAGACCGGCAACGCATGGAACAGGCCACGGAGCAGTGCACAGCTTGGTCAGATTAATTTACAACAGTGTTCAGGTTCTCCACTGAAAGACTGGCTGTTGGGACCCCGGATCTGGGCATGGCGTCCATATCATCTTCCAGGACATCAAGCAGAACTGCAGAAGAGCCTTAGTACATGAAGAACTGCTTGAACAGACACCTGGAGAGGCCTGCATTTTCTGGCTGTGGCAAATGATTCCTCAGGCAATTTGTGGCTAGTGTATGAGCAGCAAGCATCCAAGTGACCAACATCAAACTCCTGGCTTTAGGATATCGCTTCACAAAGTTCACAGCAGCTGCCGCAGGCCCCTTGCTATATTGAAGTGGACAGTTTTATGCTCTTGCAACGCAACTGCGTATCGCGCTTGTGAGAAGCACAGGCAGAAGAAAGCTCCTTCTGCAATAGAATGCTGAAGCAACAGGGTTCCACCATACTCACTCTCCAGGGGGTTGAGAGGACAAGGGGTTGACAGCGAAATGTAGTTGTTGAAGAGGAGTTTCTTGCCTGTGCAAAAGCAGTGTGTGAGATAAAATTCGTTTACAATTCATATGGATGCTCATGGACACCTTGTGGTTGGGATGTGCACTCTTAATCACAATTAAAAATCAAATCTTAGATTTGTGAAGGAAGCGCTCTGGTCTCGAAATACTGTGCACATCAATTCGTGGACCCAGCTAGCTATCGGCAGAAGGTGCTCTGAACAAATCCCAACAGGCACGCAGGTTGAGCTTGTGCTCTTTCTCACTATTGTTTCTACTCTTTCTCATTCATCCTGTTCATGATGATGCTGTGTTGTTGCAGATCATCATTCATTCTTCAGCGCTAATGGTAGATGCGCACAAGGGGGGCTTGTCAGAATGGAACGATGCCATTTAGAGCGCCTGGTGAATCACCAACACAGATCGACTCTGGTCCTGGGGGACTTTGTGTTGGTGGCTTTCGTCTTCTGCATCATCGCCCTGGCTCATTCTAGCAGGGCTTTGAAAATTGAGTCTTGCCTTGAAACGGGAATGGCCCCCTGGACGCCTGATGTGTCCATCAGGGCTTGGATGGAAGATTGGGCAAGGGAACAAGGCTCGAGGCTGCTGTACTGGCAGGAAACATCCTGCATCAATGACCGCACCAAGAATCTCAAGGACCAACTGTTCAATTTCTGCAACTATTTTGAGCTGACAGCATCATGTACTGGCTCACCAAACTACTTCGAGTTTCCAAGCTGCAAGGGGTCTGAGTGCGACCTGGCCCTTGACTGGGATGCCCTGCAGTGCGTTTTTAATGCCGTGGCCTTTCAGGTTGGGAACAGCCTTGATGGTCGGAATGGCTCAATGTGTGACATCCTCATAAATGGACCCCCACCCTCAAAGATGATCCGGCAGGACTGGATTTTTCCAGTTCCCGGCAGGATGGAGAGGCCGGCGTGTTTTGCTCCCTGGCCCAATCAGACAACCTTTGCCAACAAGGTACGTCCACGGAGGAGTTCAATTTTGCCATCTTCTGCTGCCCACATTCATATCACAACCCAACTCCCAAGCTTGAGGAAGGCATGTCTCTTGGTTGTGTTGGTTGCCAACTTGATCTCATGCACAACAGACCAGTGCTGGCCTCTTGCACACATTGTCACATATCTCGGACAAATAGCTTGAAGTTGGCTCATGTGAGCCTGCTGGTGTATTTTTGTGTGTGCTACCTGCTTATTGCCTGTGCATTTGATGTTTGCTTACTCTTCAAATTGTTGTTGCAGATGCTCATGTGACTCTGTGGTGGGTGGCGATTGTGCAACCAGTTTGGCCTGGAGCACGATGCAAAGACGACTCATGAGTACTGTGCATGTCATCATGTACCTGATCTGTACGATCACGTACCATGTACCTGATCCCTACCACCCTGCACCTGAAACCTGGACCGTGTGCCCAGTAGTTTCCAACCCTGGTCATCCAGGGCCATACCATGTTGTTAGCCAGACATTGCATGCAGGCAGAATTGTTGTTGCATGCCTTTTGTCACACACACACACACACCCAATCAGGTAGTGGGACCCAGGGACCTACAAGACGATGAAGAGACATGAGGGATTCTGCTCCGCAAAAGCTGCAGATCAGTTGCTCTGATGGCTGTGCCAGCTGACAGTGCTATGGTACTTGTTGTGTAGGTGAAGTGCGTGAATGACTTTCCCAGGTCCATAATTGATGTCGACTTAGGGATGTCGTTGAGCCAGGACAAATTCACGTGTGTGCTGGCGAGCACCTGTGGGGACATGAAAAAGCTGCCGGGGTCAGGCAACATGCAGCCCATGTACATGATGTGCGTAGAGAAAGTGAAGGGCTTCAGATTCCCTGCCCTTGACTGCTATGATGTTGAGACAGAGGCGACGGACAGTGACGAGCCATTCCCCGCACCTGTCGATGCTGGAGAAGAGGTGCCTGGTGCTCAGACAGTGGAGAAACAGGGAGTGACGGATCGTGAAAATGAAACCCGTGGTGTTGGCACCTGCAGGCAACCATGGACTATGACTGTGTTGGTATTGGCGTTGGGGGCTGCACTGGCCTTATTGTCGTAGCCAATGTTTCTGACAAGCCTCACTTTTGAGACCACCAGCCACATTCACAACGGCGCCACTGTCATTGTCACAGCGAATGCTGCCAGTGCCGTGTGTACCGTACCAGAGGCATGCTGGTGGCTGCCAGCGCAGCCAGAGCACATGCTATACACACCGCCAGTACAGGCAGCGATGTACTCTATAGGCAGCGGGATTTCTTGAGACGTGGTCTTCGGTCAGGGACTTGCATGCTGCTCCATGTTTTTTCAGCATTTACAGAATGCCCTGACGTGGATGCTGATCGGGGCAGAGCAGGTTGGGAGTGAAGGTGCAGGTGCTTGCGCTCCTTCTGGATGCGTTCAGCTCTGGTCTGAATGGCAGAGCTTCCCCTGCAACTGCAGTACAACTGTGTGCGCCAGCCGCTCGACAGTAACATGGAATGCTGTTCTCTGCTGCTCTGCACCCTGGTGTCTCAGACCAGGCGGCTGGCAAGGTGCCTGTCTCGCCACAGCAAAGGGGCACAAGGCAGGCTGCCAGCAAGAACTCGATTCATGCACGGCGGCACATCCTGGCCATGGATGAGAGGACATGGCGCTTGGTACATGTCTGTGGTGGCAGTTGCAGCCAGCATGAATGCGGAATTGCCTGATCTGAATTGTCGCCAAACTGTGGACGGTCTCTCCTTGATGGCGATCCAGTGAGGGCTTGGAATTCATAAATTTTGCGATGCTTTTGTCCAAGATTGAATGTTATAGCTCATGAATCTTCCTGTGCCCTTCTGACTTGATGATGAGGCACATGCCTGCCTCTGGAGACGGACGAGCTTCTTTGCCATTCTCTGCATTATTTCCATGTTAGGCAAGCGGTTGGCGACCCACAGATGTCGTTTGGGCAGCTTTCCTATCAGTCCAGCATACTACTGACGCGAACAGAATCAATGGAGTGCTGTGTTGGATGCACACTGAGCGGGGTTGTACTCTAATTGCAAGGAGTCCACTGTGGGGCTTGTTCACGTGCGCCTCTCCATGCTCATTGAATGGCAGTATCGTGATGCTGATGTGCCACAATAGCGACCGGTCGATTTGTTTGCAGATGAGCAAATGCTCGTTGTCACGATGTTGAGATCTGCTCACACCCTCGTTCTTCAGCGTGTGATACCACTATTCCAGTGTATTTGACACCCCCTGGGTTCACAGTATTTGTGAAGTGGAAGCCACACGGAGGCCGCCAATCCTCGTTGCCAGCAATGAACGCATTGAATACACCTCCGCGACATTCAGCATTCTAGATTGGTGCCGTGGCAACAGCAGTTCAGGCTTGCCAGATGAAGTTGCCATGCAATTACCTCTGCCAGATGGACGCCTGATGGTGGACGCTCACATCGGGATGGGGCTGGAGGATTACGGTTGGAATTTCAGCCCATCAGTGTCATGCACCCAGACTCTTTCAGGGAGCACAGCGTTTATCTTGGCCCAATTCTGTTTGCATTATCTAAAGGCTGATTGGTCACCATAGGTACCGATTCTGCAACGCTGACGCCGAAGATCGACACCACATCTTGACGGTCCAAGATACGACAGACTGGGACAACTGCCCAGAGGCACATAGACAAGATCTTGGGGTTATCAACAAGTCATATATGATACATCAAGAAGCTTTGGGGCAAGTAGTCAGATGTTGCACCACGGGGACGGAGGGCATAAACTTAGACTATAGAGTGAACACTTAAGCTTCAACTTCTTGCTCTCCACATCTTTCTGTCCTTTTCCTTCGTTTTGCTTGAGTCTCCCTCTACGTGCCAATTAAATCCTGATTGGCTGAATCGAACAAAGGGCTGCATTAGTGAACAACAGTAGTGTGAGTGGACAACAGTGGCCCCACATCGCATTTTTTGTGAATGGGCTCAGACATCGAACGTCACTGGGACACAAGTTCTCGACGCAACGAATTCAAAAGCGATCGATTCGTGCACCTGGGTGACATGACACACTACTCTCCATTCCCCCGACTCTTCACGCCCGCTTCGTTCATGTCCAACGCCCACAGTACACCTGACAGTACGAAACAGGCCTGCACTCGCTACAATGATGTAATGCCGTTATGGAGACGGCGGGGATCTTTCCACCGAAGTTGAGCCTTCCGTAGTGTGCTGTGGTTCATAAATCAGTTTCGTGCACCACGCCGCTCCGAGCCGCGTGGGGCCTCTTCCCTCCAACCAACAGCAGCGCCATTCCGCATCGCATAGTCATACCAACTACTGCCAACACTACTCTGCGAACTAACCAAGGAACCAACAGATGAGCAGGCACACGAGCCACGAGGCAGCCCACGGTGCCACCCGCGCGCCCGCAGAGTCTGAAAAGCAATCGAAACGCCCATTGAAGAGCCCATCCGCAGTGTTGGCCATTTGCTCAGCGCTGCCTCGACACTCCCCGTCCCACACGCACACCATCGCCGTGCCTCTCGACACTAAATCTCGGCCCAGCGTAATTGTCGCGACGACCCGGAACCTCCCTTCGTCGCACCTAGCCGACATCCCGAAGGAACTGCCGCTCGGATACCCAAAGACGCAATCCAACCGGCTGTCCACGCCCCCCACGGGCTGCAGAAAGGCGGGCTCCCTCGGCTCGACCCAATCTTGGCCCATGCCGGCCGACGCGCCATTCGTCGAATTCCCCTCCGTCGTCGCCTCATTCGTCGCCTGCGCACCGGCAGTCGTCGCGTTCCGCTGCACCAGCGGTACCACCTCGCATACACCGTCGTCCCTCGCCTTCTGCACCACACCGCCCAGCTCCGCAAGCAGGCACGCCGACTCCCCCACGGACAACACGCTCTCGCATGTCTTGTTCACACAGTTGAAACGGAACAGCGGATCGTCGGGGAGAGGGGTCAGCCCCCGCTGCCGCATGTCCTTCCGCGTGCAGTTTTTCTTCACATCGAGCTGCTGGCACACGATGAACAGCTGGGCCCTGGCCGTGACCGGCAGGTCGGCCGCTGCGCATGTTGAGACGCCTGATGTGTAGAACACGTCGCCTGGCCTCTCCATGTCCGCCCTGTCGCTGTCCATGCCTTGGGCCTGATGGAAAGCACGAATGGGTTCCCGTTGCTGAGCAACAAAAGCGGTGATGCCCTTCCCCGTGGGACATGACGCAGGAATCTGCGAGTGCAGCGGTTCACCGCTGTTTGAGCAACGCGCAAGCTTTCAATGGTATTGCGACTGGAATTGTTGTAATGACTTCCACCAATGCATACACACACACGATACTTTACCTTGGAACCTGGAAAACACAGCGCCAGCACTGCAATCCATCCGCCAAGCCTGACGACACGCAGAGACATCCCACCGCCCCGGTGTCGGGTTGTCGCGCCGTGTTGCCGCCTATCCAAATTGAGATAACGAGAAACGGATTAGCTGGCTGCTAAGGCGGGGACATCGGAACTGGTACTGACGCTCATATTCTGCGTATTGGTCCAGTGGCAACCTTCAAGCAAGTCACGAGGGGATGCATCGGAATTGTCGCACCGTCAAAAATTGCCTGAATGTGCCATAATCAGGACATGTACGAATCGAAAGCTTCCAGCCTTTGCATACAAGCTCCCCATTGTTGTAAGCGGTGCAACTACATGGCAGGTGCCAATTTCCACCGTCGTGTCTGCAGGTCTGTATCAGCAGCTCGTTGATGGCTGTGTTCCAGCGCATAGGATTGGTCAGTGCAATTCGCAACTTGCCACTTGGCAAGATTGACACGTTGTGCATTTGCAGCTGGATCAGGCGACCAGATGCAAGTTGTCGCGACGTTATGCGTCTCCAAGAAACCTTTTGTCCCACAGCACCTTGATATGGACAAGCTTGTTGCAAAATTTTGAGAAAACAACTTCAATTCAGACAAAACCCAGCGAGCTTCGATGAGAAAAGCTGGGTACAGGCCGGGAATAAGGAGTCCAAATGTGAATATCCTCTGGGTACTGTCATTCCAGCGCGGGTTTATTGGGACACAGTGTGGGGGCGTGTGATTATGTACAATTTTTCGGCGTTCATAGAGTTCTGAATGGGCCCCCGTGGATATGCTTGCTTTTCTCCCAATGACTGCTGTGCTTGAGCGGACCCGACAAGCTCACTTGGACATGGGCGAAAGATTGGGTCATGTTGCAACATATGCTGGTCTGTACTGTGTCTGACGGCTGTGTTGTCAAGAGATGGGCAGAGATCCCACTTGCGCTAAATACATTGTTGCGGGGTGAATTGCAAGAGCCCAGGAGCCCACCCTGCCAGTTGAAATTGTGTAACCGCGTCCTTTTGTATCCAAACGGACAAAGGTACATAGTGTCGCAAGAATCAACAGAAAATCTCTTGGCCAAGCACTGTGACCCAAACGCTCTCAGGCGAGCTGCTGTGGCTGCTCTCGTCAGGAATCACGCAGCCCCATATTTGCGCTAAGGTAACGTGGTTGGTGGTGTATGCTTCCGTTGTCCCGAACAGGGATGCAGGTCATGCATTGCACTTTCCTTGTGCATGCGCACACTGTCGTCTTGCCAAAAGATTGAAAAAGCGGCCCATGGGTGTCGGCAAAATTTCCCCAACGATGGATACAATCCATGTATCATCTTTGCGTAAGATGATCTAGCCTCACGGACGCTGCATCATAAACTGGATGGCTCGGCACGAGGAGAAGTCAACCCAAAACCATCATCACAACCTGAACAACGCACCCATCACCGACAGGCGGAGTCATAACGGGTAGTACGGCAGTACATAAGTGATGGACCTGGCAACCCATCAACCAAGTTGCGGATTAAGCACACGCTGGCCGGCGCTTGTGGACATCATGCCGCCCCGAACCCCACCCACCTCTGAACACCGCGACGAGGGAAGACGACCTTGGCAGGCAGCCTCTGGAACTGTTCCCGGTCACGCTCACCCTCCTGCACCGCGAATCAAATGGCGCCAGGGTTACAATGGACGCATGCCGGCCAGCCCCAGGGCGACACGAGTCGACACTACGTCAAACCCAGTGTCCATCGACCGGCCACCAAACCCCACGGCCCCAACATGGGGTTTGTGCCACCAAACCCCACGGCCCCAACATGGGGTTTGTGCCACCAAACCCCACGGCCCCAACATGGGGTTTGTGCCAACGGCGAAGGGCTGCGGGCCCAAAGTCATTTGTGGGATCTGTGCCTGCGCGTGATCCTTGCGAAGGGCCAACATTGCGCTCAAGAGGCGGGACCCACGGTCAGGCTAACGAAGCCGTTCATCTTGACAGGCCGCGCACCAATGCCTGCTCACCGCGTTGCGCTATTTTTGCGCTGCCGGCTCTGCGCATGCCTCCTGGCGCGGCCCGTGTGCGGCCGGGCTGCGGTCCGCCAGCGCCGGCTGACGCACCCGCCGCCCGGCGCCGGTCGCCCGTATCGCGAAGCGCGCGGCGCAGAGGTTGGCAGCAAGTGAGGACGGCGGTCAAATCCAGAGTGAGATCGCATTGGATGCGGGCCCCCGTGAGTGATGGGCATTGCGTCCGATGATCGTACACTCCAGATGGTGCCCTGAACGTGGAGGGTCGTCGTTATTTCCCGCTGCCTTCCTACGTCAGCATGCAGGTACCTGACCGAGCCCGGCCGCGCCGGGCCGGCCTCGGTCGCCCCCAGCAAGGCAGGTATACAATTACTGGCTGCACCGAAATCGGTGACTTTATGCACTAAATCGGTGACTGCTGGCACCAACTGCCTCCAAAACTCACCTAACCTAAAACTTAAACCCTAAGCCCTAAACCAAAATCTGTTGTTCTATGGCCATCTTTGTGACTGCCTAACACGGCTGGTGAGTCACGGCCAGAATTACGGGATTCCCTTTACAGGTTGTGTCCGATCCCCGATCCAAATTCCCAGACACAAGCAGTTGATAGACAATTTACAACCTATAATTAGACCGACGAAGATGGCACAACCCAATCGGAAGTTAGCAGGGCTACAGGTAGATCCTGCAATCACCCTTCAAATAGGGAAAACTTGTTCAATGACTTTGCCATGCCTTTCTTGGCCCTGTGCACGCCGGTTCCTTTCCGAATTCTACGGGAAACTCAACTGCCCTTTTACACAGGCGAGTTCCTTGGCTATGCGAGTCAACTGCAATGTCTCACTAAGCATAAATGATAGTAGAATGTGCCAACACTGACTACACACCCTTTGAAGCAATCTTGCAAATCATGTAGCAAGGATGGGACTATATACACATTGGTTCACACAAAACAAAGTCAAGAACAAACCTCCTATAACTTCCTAGATCTTCAACAACTGGTTGGTATTATTAAAAATACCCAGCCAATCCTTTGGGTTGGCACCTTGCCTATGTACACTACTTAAAGACGTTAGCACATCATCAGCATACATTCTTATATCCAGTTTTCCTGTTGTTTATGAAAATAGTCTCGTGTCTTTGTGTGAGTCAATTTTCAAACTTTCCCAGATAGCTATTTCTAGCTTTTCCGCGGCTGACGAGCCTAACGCCTTGTCAATAATTATCTTTGAGCTTCCTGTATACCTTTATGTAGGCTATCTTTCACAGGAGTTGTGGGGCACTCTAAAGTGCTACTCTTGGGGGCCGGTGTCTTCGTACTAATTTCACGGTTTAACTCTTTCGGGTTCTTCTCAAAATGGCTCATGCTTCGGGACTTGCACATGGCTGACTATACAATGAGTGGGGATTGTATAACTATAATTTTGTAATGATTCTGCCTGATTACGGCTCCCATCGCTTTACTGTGTACTGGACCTCGTTGAGGCAATACTTTGATAAGTGTCAGAGGATGTTTACACTGAATGACACCAACGTTCGATCACTTTATCAATATCACTTACATTTAGGTCCTTTTGGACTCAAATAAATATCGCTTACTTTGTGCTCAAAAGTCCGGTGCTTCTTGTAGCACTTGTTGGTTGCCCTCTCAACACTTTACTAAGTTTATACTCTTTTGGATTCAATACTTTTGTCTTTTACTTCAATAGTTTAGTAGGAGCCTCGAAGGTTTCCCCACAATGTATTGGGCTGGACCTGGGACCCATAGGTTTTCCCCAATAGTTCCGAACCTTGGTTTCTAACTATACTTACAGCTGGTTTGGGGCCCCACAGGCTTTCCCAATAGACTAGTTGTATTTCTGATATCAATCCACAAGTTCAGACACTTAGTAATGAAAACCAAATTTATAATTACAAAGTATTCCTTCACGGATTACGACCTGCTTCACAACTCATTATGTTCAGTTCTCATATTCCTAGTTCATTTGCCTATTGGCTCAGGAGCTAGTCGGGACGAGCCGCTTGTCCAAATGGGGTCATGCCTCACTATTTATTGGTGTGGTTTTCGGTTTGTTCGCAGACGATGCGCCCGCCGAGGCACCCAATGGGGCCGCGGGGCCCCCTCCGCTAGATGGCCGGTGGGCTTTGCGGGGCACTTGTCTCTTCGGATGCATAGTGTGGGCCCAGGCCTACAGAATGGCCAGGTGGGGGGTGGCCGTATGCACAGTGGGTGCGCGCAGTGCCTTGCGGCCTGTGGGTAAAGCCGCTGGGAGGCGAGTGGGCATGAAAGGAATTACAGGCTATTGTGCAGGGTCGGTCACATGACCCCCATACACAATGGTACATAATCGATAGGACAGCGTATTGAATATACCTGTATCGATAGTATCTCATCCCCGAGTATGGTAGGGGCCTAACCTTAAGTACTAGAATTGTTATAAGCTATAACTCCACTACTGCTGACCCGTTTGGGATGATTCAAATACCTATAGAAAGCTAACAGCCTCCTCTACCCAATCTAGGTATAATCTCATGTTTATTATCATTTCCCAGTATATAACTTGAGTAAACCGGCTACCTCTTAGTAGTTTACACAATTTATAGCCTGCAGGCTCCCCCACCTCCTCCTCGGAGATTCTAGAACTAATTCTCGAATATTCGGGATTATTCTCTGATCCCCAGGTCCTTTCCAAGCCTGTCCCGTCAATGCCAATATTGTACCACTTCCAATTCTGCCATCCAACGCCCAGAACCGGATCATACCACTATCACCTAGCTAGGGTCAA